AGAGTTGGTCGTCGAAATCTTCTTATATTTTGTGGCTTAGGTATGGTAGTTGGTCATCTTGTAGCAGCAACAGTATTTCTTACTGGTTGTAATGTGGACAAAACTGTCATTAAAAATATTATAGTGAATGAAGAAGTGAATTGTGGAACAAATGCTGGAATATTGATGCTTATCTTTACAGTTATTTATATTATCTGTTTTGCACTTTCATGGGGAGCAATCTGCTGGATTTATGCAGCTGAAATTTATCCTCTTAATATCAGAGCTAGGGCGGTGTCTCTTACAACCGCGAGTCATTGGTTCATGTGTATAATCATGTCTTACATATTGGAATTAATTGCACCATTAGGAATACATGGAGTATTTTACCTTTTCAGTGGCCTCTGTCTTTTGGCTGTTGTCTTCGTTTATCTTTTCTGTCCAGAAACGAAAGGAGTTTTACTAGAAGATATTGAAGAAGTGTTTGATAATTTTCAATTGAAAGATCGAACAGTAGTAAAAGTGTTGCGGAGATCACTATGTCAGCGAAACACAAAAAAAACGCATAAAGAGAGTCAATGTGAGGGTAATGGTAGTTTGAAAGTTTTAAAACTTGAATCAAAGTAACGAATTCTATACTTGTATATCTTTTTTACGTTAGTGCTAAGCCGAAATCCTTAAGTCTAGGCAGTAACGCCTTTTATGTATTTTCTTAAATAAAATGTTGTGTTTTAGTCATTCTGTCTTGTGTTTTTAATAATATTATGTTTATTTAAGATTAGTCAAAATAATAAAGTTTCTCTCTGTTATAAAAGAAAATCATCTGTTATTTCATTAACATACATAGTAAGAAATATTTCTGTATTTTATTCAACGACCTGTCCAAGCTTGACGCAATCACGTTTTTTCATTTTGAATATCTCAAGTTCATGAAATTGAATGAAGCTGAGATTTTCAGAATATATTCAAGTTTTATTACTCTACATACCCTCTACGTTTCATAAGATTCGAAACTACCATGAGAATTTTATGATTAAAATATAGGTCCGCTCCGTAATTACCAAAAATGGTCTTCGCGATTGAGTCCTATGTAAAGAACTGGAAATGCTAGCTCAACTAAAAGTGCGAAGAAAAAAATTTTCCTTACGAAAGTTGTAGTGAAGATGACGTTCTATCTGTAGAAAAAATTAAATTAAAAATATGAAAAAATACGGCTTTGAAAAGTGAAAAAAAAACCTTTTAACGGAATAACCATCTTAGTGACCGAACCACTTTTTAAAAACGGTTCTTATTTTTTTTTAGTGTCTATTTCGTAATAAATTTACCTATAATTCCTGAAAATGAACACATTTGTATTACTCATAGGGATGTACAAAATGAGTGCCTATTCCGACCATCGAAACTGAAACCGGAACCGGGATCGAAGAAATTAACTGTACCGATATCAGAGCCCACAAAATTTAAATATACCATGACAGAGACTCAGACCAAAGCAAAAATGGTCTCACGAAGAGGAAGAAAGTGAGACTTTCGTACTTCCGAGTTCAGGTGAAGTAGGGGAGGAGTACGGAAAAGTAGACCTAAGTTACAGATGTAGTAAAGAAATAAAAAATATGAGCATTGAAAAAACATTAAAAATGCGAGAAAATAATGCTGCAACATGTTTTTCTAAATAGGCACAGACTGTAGATTAGCTAGAAACACATGACCAAAATAAAAAAAATGGAATTTCACCCAGTCAGAGACCAGAATCACAATAAGTGTGCTGGAACTTTGGTCAGGATCGAGACCAAGAATAATGCTGCTCCGCGCACCTCTAATTACTCGTGAAAAAATAATTGAGAAAAATCATTTTACATTGGTCATTCTGATAAGGTAACAATTGTATTTCACAAGTAGCCGGTGCATGCATAATAAAGTCGATGTCTATGTTCAACATTTTATTCAATAAATGCAAGACGAACATATCTTATTATCTAGAGTAAAGGGCAATGTAAAATCTGATAATAAAAATTCTCCAGTATTTCTGTCAATTCGTCGGTTTTATTTCGTTTTTGAGACGCGGCGAAAAGTCAAAGAATATTTGATTGTGAAGATACGGAAACTGAAGTTACTGAATATGAATTAGATATTATTGTACTATTGTTGGTATTATTTATATTAGTTACAGGACAATTGAACGAGCCATGAAGGCTTCTACTTTGTCTTACTGTTCGAGTCATTTCGTCTTTTTTCTTCATCAAAAGATCAGTCAAATAGGAAAATGAACTCTTGATACCAGGAAGAACAGTATAACTGTTATCATCAAGTTTAAGGCATAGAGATTCTTTGTAAGGAATCAAAGCAACAGAATCTAGTTTAAGAATAACGAGAACATTGCAGCAACTCAAATAAATGTCCGCATTGCTGATTTCTTGAAAAGCAAGTAAATTTGCTAGTTTCTGTCCAATAAATTTTTTAATAAAATTATAAAACTTTTCATCCTGATAATGAAAAACATCAGCCGGTACGTGATTGGTGTTAATAATGGACTTTCGACATCAAGAAAGATTTTGTAGAAGTTTAAAATGTGCTAGATAGGCACATCGATAGATAGCGAAAGAAATAGAAAATATGAATGAATAGATATCGAACAGTCACAAACTAAAGTTCGAACTAAATTTCTAGTCAAAATGGCGTCGCTAGTTTATGACATATACATACTGTAGAAAAACAGTACCAGATATCGAAATACTTTTCTTAATTCTTGTTCAATACAAATAGTAGGATATTTTAAGTTTTAAAATGCTAGTTTTCTCTTAAATTTGCTGTACTTACTGTTTGTTTCGATCAAAATAATGAAGCTCATAAAAAAAAACTACTCATGTGTTCAGAATTTCGTAATATTTTCATCCATATATACCGTGAATTTTAACCTCTTACATTGCTATATGAAAATTACTATGAAATAATTGATATGCAGGGGAAAAGAAACGAAAATAAGACATTATATTCATTGATTTTTTTGATTTTTATCTTTGATTTAAATCAAAAAAATCAGCTGTTTCCCCCTTGAATGCATAGAATGATTATGAGCTAAAGAATTACCAAAAGATCCAGAATTTCAGACGTATAAATGACGATTTCCATAGATAGGCAACCAGGAAAAACAAATAGATCTCAGGAAATTTTACGTGTATCAGACTTTGTAGAGCTCTCTTCGTTGATCATTTCAATAAAAAGACGTTTTAGATTTAATAAAAAATGATGGTGCTAACGCCAAAATATCGAAAAAAAATAATAGCTTTAGCACACAGAGCTGTCCTATTTTTGCAGTGTTCTCACCCTAGTGCCCTCATTTATTTATCACATGTAAAAAGTCTTTTTATTCAAATGATCGGCAGGAGAGCTCTACAAAATCTGATAGGTGAAAATTTTTTTCTGAGAGCCTGTTGGTTTCCTGTTTGCCTACCCAATGTACGCAACAGTGGGTCTCACCCGCGGGATCTGTCGCGTCGAATGTGTTAATTAAGGGTGTGGGTGTGGGTGTGGCTTTGGCTACGACTGGGTGTGAGCAGTGCTCTGGTTGTGAATATCTTTAGAACACGATCAACAAATATACCAGGGAAAGTTTGAAAAGAACGACTACATTCACTTCCAGTTCATCTGTTTATGCAAGAATTTTTAGTAAATAAAACATTTTTCGAGATTTTAGCAGTTGTTTTATATGGTTAAAGAAGAATACAGGTACTTGAAGTAACAGAATAACTGTTAACAATCCTTAAATCTCCAACTCCTACATTAGCCATTTGGATGCATTTTAATTGTCGTTCATCGTATTCAAGCTGCTTTGGACGAATAGTATCTAGATTATCGGTGATCTGTTGTTGAATAAGTTTCAATGAACATGGGCGCAGTTTTATAGCGTAATAAATCGATAATAATGAATAATATTATTGAAATCATGAAAATCAGCCATTTCGAGAATTTGTCGATCAAATGCATTAAATAAGTAAAAGCTATTTTAACTAATACATTTAGTAATACTAATTTGTATTTCCCAGGTGAATGAATCCGAAAATGGATGTTATGGAATTCTATGGGATCTGACTCTCCGACAAAATTCGATAGGGTTCCTGGACGCGGATCTATTGTCGGTCCCGACGGAAAAAAATCATTTTCTTATTCACGATCAAATATGCATTTTGAGCCATCAGAGCGCAAAGGTGATTCGATAGAGTTGGATTTCATTAAAATTTGCCATCGGATCCAACTAGAGTATGATATTGCTGTCAATTCGAGTATCGAACTATATATTGCCGAATAAAAATAAACAAAACATCGTAGAGAGCTTACCTGGTTATTTAATTAATCAACCAATACTTATCACCAACTGAACTCTCGCTTTTCTTTTTTCATTTTCATTTTCATTTTCATTCTTATTTTTATTTTTATTCATACTTGGTTCCATCAATCAATTTCTTGTAAAATTCTTAAATAAGTCTTTGTGGATTTTCAATTAATCTTTTGTATGCTTATTTGTAATGAAGAGCCCTGAAGAGTGTTTCATTATTAAAATAAATAACACGAAACGCGTCGGCGAAAAAAATTTCTGCATTTCTTTTAATTCAAGCACAAATATATTAATTTTCGGCTTTGATCGATTGTTGAGAAGCATGCGTTGAGAATATCAGATTAATTTGTCTTCTTCGTTAAGATATAGATTGACCTATTTTCAATTGATTTAATGCCATCTGATGAGATCCTTAAGCAAGATCGAAATGCGTCATGACTGCCTATATCACACCCACATCCTTGTTCGACCTGAGTAGTATAGAAATTATGCATGCGATGTGAAAATAATGGACGAATCAGCATCATTCTCTCTCCTTCTATAAACGCGTTACTATCGCGATCATTTTTTTCTCCTTTGTCATTTCTTTGTTTTGTACACACACATTAATAATTGAAGGTTTCTTTCTTTCTTTCTGTAAAACAGAGTGAAATCATCGACAGGCACTAATTTATACAAACATACGCAAATGATGGAGTTAAATAATCCAAAACTCTATACCGTTGTTTGGTTTGGTACACCAAGACTTGATATCGACGAAGAGTCAAAAGTAAATGCGGAAGTCATAATAGAAAATGGCCTTTACGTAGAAGATAACGATATCAACAGTTGTTTGAAAAAGCTACAATTAATGCAAGACGAAAATATTTTATTGGTGATTACTGGTATGGCCAGCGACAAACTTATACTTGATGAAAATCTTCTTACTCAGGTTCATCATCTTCCTCAAGTGAAGATCATATATGTACCCGCAAAGTACGGTAATCGTCATCCATCTCATGTTTTTCCGAAAGTATGAACCTATCAATAGTGTATTTTGCCTTTTTGTCGTTTTTATTTTCATAGTTGAGACAACTATCGAACCAATCAGTATCACTTCGTATTCGAGCCGATTTACGAGTTTACGCTCAAATGACAGACTCGATTACCTTCAATACATTTAGTGAAAAATCATCTTTAGCCGTGAACGGTGATTTTATGCATTTTCAAATGTTGATCGACTGTATAATTGATGATCATTTCTCAATGAAGCTCTTGGACAATTATTCGACGTTCGATAAATCGAAGAAAGAGTTCATTGAAACATGTAAAGAGATTTATAAGAACGAGCGTACAACATTGATACAAATCGAAGAATTCGCAAATACCTACAAACCAGAAAAGGCTCTCTATTGGTATACTCAGAATTCCTTTGTCTATAAGTTACTCAATGGTGCAATGCGCACGAATAATACGCGATTAATTCTTATTTTTCGTTTTTTTATCATTGACATATATCAAGAACTGAAAAAACAGTGTGACGAACCGATCATTTCAGAAAATCAAGATGGTGTGTTTCCAACATATTATGTTTATCGTGCACAAATTATGTCAAAAGACGAATTGGACCGATTAAGAAAATCGTTGGGACAAATCATTTCTATGAAATCTTTTCTATCGACTAGTCTTAACCGACAATTCGCATTATTCTTTTTAGGGGAAGTAGATGAAGGAAATCAGTCATCATTAGTGCCAACTCTAATTCAAGTTGATCTAGATCGTGATGATATATGCTTGGATTACAATCGACCATTTGCTAATATTACTGCACATAGTTGCTTTGGCGAAGCAGAAGAGGAAGTTTTGTTCATGAGTGGCTCTTGTTTTCGTGTGGTTGAAATACGTCGCAGTGACAAAGGTATATGGTATGTTTCCTTAGCCAAACTTAAACTATTCGACGGACCCTTAGATTATCACAGTAATTATGGCAAACTCTATCATTATATGAAAGATGATTTTCTTCATCCACTGTTAAACCTTCAATCTGATGTTGGTTTACTTCTTTTTCAATCAGGGAACTTTGATTTGGCCGAAGTACACTTCGAACGATTGATACAACATCTGTCAGAGTTAGTTTATGTACCGGAACAAACAGAGAACCAAGAAGACTTAACAACCTTATCACGCACAGGAAATAAAAGTACAGATATTGTTGGCTTCATCAAAGATCTTGAGGATGAATTTCGTGCAGAAGATAAGGTGAAATACGTTGAAAGTGCGAAGGAAGACATAATAACAAGCTGCTACTACATGTTGGGACGAATAAAACATGAAAAAGGCTTATTTGATGAGAGCATTGTACACTATGAAGAAGTATTACGAAGAACCGAACCCTGTTCTATTACAAATGAGAAACCTAGAAATAGTATCAAACATGTTCTTTACGCTCTTTGCTATTTTGGTCTCGGTGCGACTTACGAAATAAATGGAAACACGAAGCGTGCATTCGAATCATACACTAAAGCATTACATATGTTCGAAGAAGCACACGATGGAATAATTGATGATTCTCCATTTTCTCCAGGTTCAACCTATATCTATAAAGGCCATTGTCTTATTGGATTAGGCAATTTTTTTTTAATCGAACAAAACTATGAACAAGCAGATGAATATTATCGTAAAGCTTTATCATTATTCGACACTTATTTGCCTGTCGGACATCCTGATCAATCACGCGCACGACAAAAAATAGCTAAAATTACCCAGACCTATCGATGCAAGCCGATTATGGCCTTAGAAGACTACAAAGATTGTTTAGAAAATTACTTGCGTGTATTGCCTTCAGATCATGTCGATATCGCACGATTATACCAAGATATGGCTCACAGCTTCGAACAGTTACCAAATGGATTGGAGAACACCCTCGAATACGCAATGAAAGCTGCAAATATTTTCGGTCAATATTTACCTAAAGATCACAAAGATAATAGAGAAATTTCTCAAACAATTGCACGCATTCGAAGTAACCTACATTTGGAAAAATAATTTACATTTTCTACGATACTGTTATATAAACATCCCTGTTCCTCACCCTCAAATAGACTATAGGACGCGAAGCCTACTATCATGCGTGAGTCATTCTGAAAGTGTTTAGGGTGTGGGTGTGGGTGCCAGCCTGGATTCGAAGAAGCTATGCAGCAACACGCACACACACACCCTGGACTTAGTTCACTTCAAGTTGCATTGTTTTCTTGGGCAACTATAGAACGACACATACTTATATTTCATAATCATTGAGTAGCGACAAAAAACAAACGTCTCTTCGTTCATTATTTTCCAATCGGTTCAATCATCATTTATTATCTTATATATTATTCTTTTGTTTTTTTTATCCATTTTGTGAAAGTTCATTTGAAGTATTCTTAGTCGGATGTTTTTTTATTCCTTGTGTTTTTGATCATACAATATTAGGAGTATGGGATTTGGTCGTTCATCAAACTTTACCCACTGTGATTATTGTGTTCTCTAGCATGGCACTTCTTATTCGTGCCATCATACAGAAAAATCGCTTACGTCAAGGAGTCCAATGGCGAAAACATAAAAAGATGATCATTCAATTGTTGTCCATCTCAGCTATCTACATCATCTTCAATGTACCATGGGTTTTAGTCATTTTTGCTTATCAATATGGTTTACTGGAAGCTATTGCCAAAGTCGCTTTGATTTATACAGGATTTCTTTATTATTTTGTGATATTTCTATTTCCATTTGTCTGTTGTTTATCATTATCTGAACTTTGATCTAAAGTTGAAGGGAAACTTTCATTCTGGGTACGAACACGACAGGTTGGTCCCGCGACATTAGCTGTGATACGACCACGAGTTGATCAAACAGTAAAACAATAATGAATCAACCTACGAACCGTGTGTTTCTGACAAATCTTGAGGACCACACCCACACCCTCAGAAAGTTTGTTATTTTTTTCCATTTATTTTTCCAAATAAAACCATCATACCATACATTTACAAATTAAAAAATCAACAGAAATCTACATAAAAAATTTAAAACACATTGGTTGCCTTTTGATAATCACCCAAAATAGGTCTGGATTTTGTTGTCAAATGTCGATCTTCTTAATTCTAACTAATTGTTATTAAAAAATACACTGACTCTATCTTGTTTCTAGCTAAAGTTTTTCTAGAAACAAATGCCTGAACAAGACTAGAAAGAATAAAAATATTTTAATTCAGATTCTGAACAAAAAGTCGAATTCTTTTAAAATTACTGATAATATTGTCAAACAGCTGCCAGATATTTCCATATAATTATTGATACCATGTCTATTTGAGCAAATCAACTTGCCCAAAATAGTTCATTAGTCAAAATTCACATACGACACTGATCTAAGATATTCGAATTATTTAAATCGTTTGCCATTATTCATTCAGATATATATCCATCGATTTAATCATCTAAAGTTTTGTCGAAGAAATATGTCGCCGATCTAGAAGACACACACATAGATCGGTGTATGTATACTGTTAAAACTCGTCGGTATTGAATGCATTTAAAACAAAAAACCGGCACTGGTTTTATTTTAATCTTTCAAGACCATTGTGCTTTGGTTTTATTAAAAGCTATCCGAGATAAATTTATGTTTGTGCTATCTAAGAAAAGCTAGCAAACACTTATCCCCAAAGTGCAAGAAAAAGAAGAAACAACAAAACAAAAAAAATGAAAGTGAGTTAATAACAAATCAAAGAGAAAAAAAGAGGAACGAAGATTGAATGACACGAGCGAGAGCCACCGGCAACAAGTGTTCACATATGACTAGACGAACACATTCTCTTGGGCACAAGACTCTCTTTTATTGGTATGCTTTTCTCTCGCCATGACCGTAGGTAAAATATCAAGCTGATACGATTCGATCCAAGTCAGCATGTGTTAAGATTTTTGAATGCTTATGACGAAATGCTGGTTTAATTAATGATTTAGCATCCATGCGCACTTGAATAAATAAAAAAAGAAATAAAATTTTGATTCAAAAAAAGTCTGTTGATGTTTTTTTTTTTCATATACCCGCATCAATATTTGAGAACTCTTTCGTAGCTAGATGTTGTGAAATACGTTTAGCAAGTGTTTTAAATAATTCCTGAGAAAAGAAAAAAATTCAATACTATTTTTCGTGGAGATAAATCAATATGAGCAAACTTTAGATGAAAATCGATTTGCTTGATAAAATGGATTGAGTACGTCAACAACAACTTCGGATATTGTTTTGATATTCACAGGAAGCTGAAAACGCAGACAGACGAATAAATTGATTTTCACGGAATATATACTTAAAAATTTACTTTGCTATCTCGAGATTTTTTCGTTGATGATTTTCGACTACCACTCGACGATGAAGTCGATAATAATCGTTTGTTTTGCAGCGATGATGATGATGACTTTTTGTTTGTTGATTTTCCATTAGCTGTTAACGAAATACTACGTTTTTTCGACGATGAATGTTTATGTTCTTCCTTGGAATTGGATGTACCGGGTGGTAATGGTAATGATTTACGATTGTTTGTTTTAGGTAAATCTTTAATTTTTTTATCTTCATCAGAATTATTATTAAATAATGATCGGATACGTTCATCTAAACTTGTTTGACGCTGACGATTAACATTAAGAATCTGTTGTTCTTGATCGTTAAGAAACGATGGTGATGATGAACCTTGCGGTGGAATTGGTTCTTCATTTGGTGATTGAATTGTTAAATGATTCGATGGTTGTTCATTGAGTTTTTGATGTAAAAAATTCGACATCGATTCAAGACAAGTTTTTAATGTACCACGAGCTTGTTTAGCTTTGACATCGGACGGATTCGGTGGAACTGGTAGAGAATTCCGACGATGACGATGATTTGTTGACTGAACTTTCGAATTCGTTGTTAATGTTGATAGTGAATGATCGAATAATTTTGCTTTTTTCTTTTCCTTTGGAATTTCACCATTTGGCCGTTTTAATGGTGGAGTTTTAGTTGATTTATCATTATTATTGATTTTAATTTTTGGTGATGAAATTTTATTTGTTGATGACGAAGTCGTCGATGAGGATGATGACGATGAATTACTTGATGAACTTGATGATGATGACGACGAAGAGGAAGACGACGATGATGATAATGATCTTCTTCGATTCGGCGATTTATTTTCTGTGTTTATCGGTGACAATGATGGTAGATTAGATTTGTCTTGTTGTTCATCTGTGTGTCCGTTTTGTTTAAGAATTTTCGTTTCGGGTTCGTTTGAAATAGAACTTGATTCAGTTTCGGAAAGTTTACGTTTTAAAGATGTAGGCGAGGATGACAAGTCTGTATTAGAATGTGTTGGCATAGAATCAATTATATACAAACTAGCATTAGTTTTTGTCGCTTTAGTAATTTCATTACACTAAACACAAAAAGTGTCATTAGGGAATTTCTTATGGAAAGTTGTTTTTCTTTTTTCTTGTTACTTTGGACATATATTTCATTTTATACATGGGTTCACTTTTTGTTGCTTGAAATACTTGATGTTCAAGCCAAATAGCTTTATCCAGACATGTTGCTTCACTAGAAGAAAAATTTAGAATTAATAAATAGTAAACGTTCGTTCTCAATAGAAGATCCTGCAATGTCTTTTTTTATTTATTTAATAATTACAGTGCAATTCGCTGTGCTTCATCATTAGCAAAATGTGTTTCAATATTTTCAACTAATACTTCTTTTAATTTCCGACACACATGTTCACGTAGTTGAACGGTAACATTAGGAATTTTTCGATTGCTTGGATCAATTAACGGGCAATTAGTACTGGCTGCTACCCAAGCTTTTGGTTTTATTTCCACTGCCTATAGAAGAAACAACAGCATGCATGATTTTGATAAGATTATCTAACTTTTACCGCTGCGCGTCGTTTAAGTTCATTTTGTACGAGTTTTGTAGCTAATTTAGCTGATTCAGTTTCATCCTCTCGTCGATAATTATCATCAATCTCACGATATTCCCGTTCATCACGCCGATTTCCAGTGCGACCACCTTCATACTGTTCTTCGCTGCCTTCATCACGATACATGATACGATTTGTTGAACGTCGATTGATTGTTTCATCGAATTTCTTTTTCTAACAATAAATTTTTTTCTCAACAAAAAAGCTCAACGATTAAAATTTACCTTTAAATTTTGTAAATTAGCTGAAACAAGTTCACGTTGTGTACATACATCACACATTTTTTCACAAGGTTTCATCGACATATCACCGAAGTAATTACAAATCACCAAATGTCGACATCTGTATAGAGAAAATAAACTAAAATTCATTTTCCCCATTGCACATACTTTGCTTCTTCACAATATTGAACAAGAGAATTAAAACCATTAAGCATCGACGTTTTTTGCTCATCAGCAATTTTCTAAGAATTCAAAATTAGTTTTCACAAAGTCTTGGTTTCAATTTTCTGCAAAAAAAATACTTTATCATTTATTTCTTGATTAATTAGAAATAATTGTGTATCTCGTTCGCGTGCCGAATAATACATTCGACAATGAGATCGTTTTCCATCGCGTCCAGCTCGGCCGGATTCTTGATAATAGCCAGATATGGATTTTGCCAAATCCCAATGAACAACAAATCTAAACAAATTTTATTTGTTCTTTATTTGCTTATGATTTAACTCACGGAATGACTCGAAAACTTACCGAACATCACCCTTATCAATACCCATTCCAAAACTAATAGTAGCACAAATAATACTGATAGAGCCTGTCATCCAATCATCTTGAATTTGTTTTCGTTTTTCATTTGTTAAACCAGCATGATATGCTTTCACCGAACCACATTGACCCGTTTGAGTTAGTTTGTTAGCTAACTCCGAACATGAATCACGTGTTCGACAATAAATTATTCCACTATTTGATTGCGTCTATTATATACAAAATTAAAATTCTAAATAATCAATGGAATTAATAATTTTTTACATCGGTCATTTTTTTAATTTCATCAATGAATTGACATAAATCGATAAAAGGATCGTCAACTAATTCTTTGAATTGAACATCATAAAAAAGATTCGGACGAAATACGGATGATTTAAATTCAATTACTGGTCGTCGCAAATGTAATGAACTAAATATAAAATAAATCGTACTCGACAAACAAAAACATATTTTTAGCGAACAAACCTGTATATGTCATCAATTACTTTCTGTGATGCTGTAGCTGTTACAGCAATACATGGAACTTTACTTAGTTCATCATGTAATGTACCTAATTTTAAATAATCAGGTCGATAATCATGACCCCACTGACTCACACAATGTGCTACGAAAGACAATTACGTTTCATATAATGTAAATACTAGACTTGTGATTTTCTATTACCTTCGTCAATGATGAGGTAATTAACTAATTTACGTTGATGAACTTTTTTGATTATCGATAAAAAACCTATGAGAAAATAAAACGTTATCAAAGAATTTCGATTATTTGAATATTTTTACTTTGAGTAGCAGCCAGTTCTGGTGTTATATACAATAGACGAGTCGTTGGTTGCCGTTGCATAAGATCTCCAAGTACGATTTTCTTTTCTTGTTGACTCAATGTTGAATTAAGTGTACGTGCAACGATTTGTTTATCATTTAGAGCTGTGACTTGATCTTGTATTAGCGCAAGTAATGGAGATATAACAAGTGAAAGACCATCTTCTTTGTAGACCGCAGGAAATTGATAGCACAATGATCTATTTAATAGTAATGTTCGAATTTTAAAAGATTTTCTCAAACAAAACGATAGTTCTCTAATTTTTTGATTGATATTTTACTTGAGAAAAAGATCTTTCTCATACTCTACGAAGTACATATCCCGTGTTTCAAAGGAGAATTTCTACTACTATAAGAATATAACATACTTTCCAGCACCGGTCGGAAACGATATGAACACATCACTATTTCCTAGAACGAAAAAAAGCAAATATAGTAGTTTCAAAACGACGGGAATCAAAATCTAGAAACCATTTATAATTGATAAAATGGCTTTTTCTTGAATATCAGATCGGAATTTATCGAAGCCAAACTTTTTTAAACATTGTTTCACTTTTGTTTCTGTCGCCATTCACTATTCATCTCATATTTTATCAAAATCTAGAAAAATAAAAGTAAAAACTTCTGTAATAGAGTAACGATCAAACTCGAGAACACGTGATTTCGCACTAATCTATTTTATGATGCAATATCTTCTATTCGTTAAATTATCCTTTATTGAATACTTTTTTAAGCGGCCAAAAGATAAATGTTAAATAGTCAATGAAAAAATAATTCACTAGATTCAGATAGGAGAGATTTTCTTTTCGACTGCGCAACTAGTTTTGTTTTTGTTGTTTTTCATTCAAATCTAAACGGTCACCGATTCAATCGAATCAGAAACGTATAAAACAAATAGCACCATCTATTAAAAAACATGAGTCATCGACTTCACTTTGTATCACATACAATTGGTGAAAATAAGTTACTGTTGATGATCAGTTATTTGTGAAGAAGAAAAAAAAGATGGCATGATAGTTTTGTGTATTTCAACTTGCAGTAAAACAGCAAGGCTATCAGAATCATAATCAATATAGAAATTGCGTCTTTTATTTAATAATCAAACGTGCAATTTTCATAATGTTCCACATACGAAAAGAATTGACTTGCCAAATATCGTGCCGGACACTACTTTCGGTTACGTTTTCGAACAAACAAGAAGCGTCAAACAATAAAAAATTAGTTCTACTATTGAGTTTTTCTTTTGAGGCGTTGCTCAATTAAATTGCAATCATTGAGCTATGTGACTCTTTCTGCTTCAATCATACTACGACACCTTTCCGTTCTGTAGTCATTGCAAGAATAAACCACCAATAGAATATTGTTGATAGAAATATTTACATAAATATTTTTTGTATTACAATTGTAACAAATTCAAATCGATACTTCAAGCTCTCTTACTTATTGATTACAGCTGTCAGCTATCGAACCAATGAAAAATTCAGATCATTCTTAATGAGTCATCTCTATTATGATGTCAGAGATGAGATGAATCGATTATACTCAAACATAAATCAAATTATGTGCCTGTTTATGTGTTCACAAATAATATGAAAAGGAAAAGTTATTTTTTCTTGACACTGTAAGAACAAGAACTGACATATGTCTATAGAACCCATACGAACAAAATCAACTTATCCAATAAATCGAGAAACCATGGTTCATAGTAGTGCAGACGAACACGACTTAATATCCTCAACAATGAGTGAAGATAGTCATACGCCTTTATCGGAAACAGTCACTACATTAGCGAGTAAAGTTTATAAAGAATTAGAGCGTATTATTAAAAATTTCGGCGAAAATAGTGTTAAAGATTTAATGCCAGTTATGATATCAACATTAGGTATAGACCAGCTGTTGTTTTTTTTTGTATCTCTTCATACATGAAATTTTGTTTCTCTTAGAATCACTGGATGGCGCATTACATGAACGTGAAGTAAATAAATTTGAAATTGAATCATTAAAAGAGCAAACCGAACAGTTGTATCAACAATATGAACGCGAAAAAAGTTTTCATAAAGAATATCAACAGGTATTGCTTATTTTTATTGATGCAGCTGATTGATTTGTGATTTATTTTTAAGCGTTATCTTCAAGTTGAAGACCATCTGGAAGAAATCAAACGTGAAAATGACGAAAAATTGCGAAGTCTTGAATCGATTGTAAAAATTTTCGAAATCAAAGCACGCAACGCATCAGATCATGTTGGAAGATTAGAAGATAAAGAAAATGAAATGAAACAAGAATATAAACGTTTACATGATCGATATTGTGAGGTAAAATAAATTTTTTTATTTTCTTCTTATAGTATCAATATTTTTTATTTCTAGTTATTTAAAGTTCACTGTGATTATATGGAACGAACAAAAATCTTATATGGAACTGATCGATTAGATCAATTGGCTACTCTGACACATACAAGTTCTCAATCTCGGTTAGTTGAAATTAGAGCGCGGAAAATTTTCATCTGCTTTTTCTCGAAATCCTTCGTTGTTTCCAATTGAAATCTTGTATGTAAAACTCTATTTTAATAGTGGAAATCTACAATTATCATCCACAAGTCAATCACTGGCTGACAAACAAACCGATAAAATGCCTCCAACTAATCCAGATACGACCTCACAGGAACAGGAAGTTAATGTTGATGTTCGACCTGAAATCGATGTTGCCGATGTTAAACATACTCAAACAGAATGCATGGCAAGTAATGATGCAGCTGTAAATACCGGTAAGTTTTAAAGTCTAAAACACCAAAGGTTTTTCATAATAGTTTTTGAACAAGAATCTTTCGATATAAAATTATTTAATAATCAACTACTTTTCAGCTAAATTGGCAAAACTTACACAGATGGATGAAGTATCTCTAAGGGAACTCTCACCAGGTGCGATAGCTAGTGTAAATTTGATGTTGTCTATTTATTCACTTATTGTTGAGTTGCGGGGAAAATAACAAAGGAGATCTTTTTTAATTTTATCATCTAGAACATGATAATACTTATCTTGAAAAATATAAACGTGGTAAGCCAAGTTCATAGTTAAGAAGCATGTACTTACAAAATACCTCATGCTTGTTAACTAAAAATTGCATGAGAAATTTAAAAAGACAAAAAAGAAACAACCCCGAGCATTTAATTCCCGTATTTTACTAAACACAAACTTCTCGATGCTTTGCTTTTGTCTTGTATTTATTGTATGTAATGTATGTCTGTGTTGCATGATTATTAGGAATATTCACGAAATTGCGAAATCTCAATTTGTTATCGCAACCGTTCGATGAACAGCAATTCTTTGTAACCGAAGATGAATTTGAACATTCAAATAATATTACAGGTGATCTCAATTGTATACGAACGATCTTCTTTACATAGAAATAAATTTTCCATAACAAAAATATATTGAATATTTTTTGTTCATTAGAAATTACGATTAGTGACGATGATGATGATGATATATCCGTAGATGAGTCGTAAGTTGAGAAAAAATTAATATCAAATGGATATGAGCTTTCAATTTTTATAGTAAAAATTTGGAAGCATTTGACAAAGAAACAAGAAATGATAATATTGATATATCGGATGTTGACGCATCGGCGGATTTGTTCGGTAAGTTAAGAAAATATTTTTTCGAGATTATTCATCGGCAAAGTTTTTCTTCTTGTATAGTTCGACAAAGTTTTTATGGTGAGAATCTTTGTTATGAAACAGGACATCGTATTGAATATATAAAAATATTTTCTTGTAATTTAGGCATGACAAAAGAAGTATCGAATTTAATTAAAGAAAATAATGAACTTTTGGAAACAAAGTATTTTAAAAGATGAAATGTATAAGACGAAATACTTTTCTATTATTATTATTAGAAATGCATTAAATGTACTTAAAGATGATTTGCTAGTAAAAATTGAAGAATTGTCCAAGTAAGTAAAAGAGATTAGTCAGAGCAAAACAAAAATCTTTTTTTTTTTTATATAATACAGTGATTTGGAAATCGCTCGCGAAGAAGCGGAATCACTGCAAACAGTTCGAAGTCGATTACAATCAAGGTTCAGAGAAATCCTTTTCTACTAAAATGAAGTATAACTTTGATTTCTTACAATTAGAATTAATGATGTCGAAGAAGAACTGCGAAAAATACGAGAAGAACTTGAAAAGAAAAAAGAAGCAGAGGTAAGTTAATCCAAATATAGAATAGCAAACTAATTGCATGCATACATAAGATATCTTTGCCTTTACAACTTGATTAATGCATGTTTGAATTTTATTAATTGCATTTTCTCAGGAAAATGTACCGACTGAAGATAGAAAGCGTTTTACTCGAGTCGAAATGCAACGTGTTCTTCTTGAACGTAATCAGTACAAACAACGTTTATTTGAACTCGAAGAAGCTATTCATCGGCATGATGCTTTACGTGCATCTCGACGTGAACAATTGTATTCAGCATCATCAATAAGTACAACTCATGATAATATATTCGATCAAATACACAATAAAAATAAGCCGAAATTCATGAAACTGTGAGTCTCGAAAATCAATGTTGTAACTGATACTTTTTGTTTCTCAGGGCAACGCTCTGTTTTGTGCTACTCCTTCTTTTTTGCTCTCATATCAAATGATTTGCATTCTATCGATTTGTTCGGTACATTTTTCGTTTGTTTGTATAGCTAGCTACTAACACCAATGCATGATAAACTAACTGAACACGTGAAATAATTCATTGTATATATTTTTCCTTATAGAAACCTCTATTGATAAGCAAAGGGACACAAACAACGATACATGATCAACAAACAGTACAAGAAGATTCTTCGTCTATCCCAAAAGAAAGCCCGCCTATGACTTTATCCACATCCGAAGAAATCACTCCTTTGACTTCACCTACATCGAAATCTTTGTGGCGTGTGCTCAGTGAAGACTGGCTACCCACATCGATAGTGCCCACGAATATTTTGGGCGTGCCCGTTGTCGATATTCAGAGTGATTTGAGAGAGGGAACAACACAAATTTCTGATTTGTAAGAATAAAACCAAAAATAAAAGAATTGATTTTCTTCAAAAATAAAAGAATTTATTGATTATGCTTTTTCTCTCGATTATTTTAGTTTTTCGGGTTTATTTGGCACCACTGTTAAAGAGACCTCACCTAAACGTTCCATTAGTTCAACTACTACAACTAACTTATCATCAACAACTGAGAATTCTATGCCACAGAACTCACCAAAACATCAAGCGGCATCAGCAACTACTACTACAAGCAATAATGAAAGTAATGTTGTTCCACTGGAAAAATCTTCTTCGACACCACGTACTGATAATTCGAGCTTAACAGACGAAGCTAATCGCTTTCAAGCATATGGTTGGACTTTACCATCAAAAGATTATTTAAAATCATCTACTATTAATGGTAAAATTCAAGTGAACGTTCCCGTGCCAACTTTTTGCCAACCGATTTTCAGTTCAAATGATAAAACACAAGTAAACGAAAATTATATTAATTTGATTGCAATAGTCTAAAAGAATTTCTCATTCAAAGATTTGGTGTGCTGCTGGTATTGATCTTAGTGGATTGTCATTAAATGCCAATGAAACATCAGTTGACCAGTTAAATAAGCAATTGATTGAATCCTATCATCAAATGATTGATGAACAGTATCTAAAATTATCATCATTTGTTTGGATAGCTGCGCAAGCCAATGACACCGCTATGATTACAATTATTGATTCAAATCAACCCGATAAAATTATTGATACATTCACGCTGGGAAATGCAGTTGTTTATGCAATGGGCAGCGTTCCAGGTAGAAGGGCAGAAAATAAATGTCTTAGTTTTGTTATCGAAGAGATGATTTAGGTACATCAAATACTGATTATACACCATTGGATGATTCGAAATTGAATGAGACAACATCCACAAGTGGTAAGATTATATTTTCTATAAAAATAATCTTTTTTCTTCTATCAATTTTAGATGTAAAAATAATATCATGTACAGCAGCTTCACTTTCTACTGGTAAAGGTAATTTGCTTCAATTTTAATATTTTCAAATAATTTATTAGCTGAATATTTACGCAGGTCGTTCGAACAGTACTGAAACATTTGAACCAATCCATTCTGATGCATCTCATCAAAGTAAGTCTTCTGCATTTTTGAGTACTACGACTTTTGTTCTACTGTTCAGCTGTCGATGGAGTTAAGACAAAATATCCAACTGTATGGTTAGGTTCAAGTGATGGATGGTGAGTAGAAGAGACGCGTCAGTTATTTTTGTAATCGAAAGAAAATTTAGGTTATATATTCATTCGGCTCTTGGTGATCATCGTACCATGATTGGAAAAGTTTGGCTCCGTCATGCAATTTATAGTATTGTGTAAGATAGATAAAAAAAGGAATTTGATTGATCTTCGCTTTTTTGTTACTAATTAAAATTAGTCATGTTCGTGGTCGTGTATTTGTTTCATTGGCAAACGAAAAATTAATTGTATTTCATCGTCATACAGGTAGAATACACTATTCAAATAAATGTGAAGATTTGAATATAAATATATTTATTTCGAGATGGTACATGGAATTTAAATAATCTTCATGTGATTACAACCGGTAAAAGTCGAGAATCGATTCGATGCGCTGTTAATGTGAAAGAATCCATATGGTGTGGTGTAGCCAATCGTGTTTATATTATTGATAGTCAAACATTAGAAATTCGAGTATGTTCATTTTCAAATCGAATTTTCATTAGAAGATTTTTTTAATTTATTAGAAACAAGTTGAAGTTCATCCTCGTCCTGAACATTCCGTTCAGCATATGACTTGCTCTGGTGATGGTGTTTGGTTATCTATTCGTTTATCTAGTAGTTTAAAATTGTATCATGCACAAACCTATCAACATTTACAAGATGTTGATATTCAACCATATATTGAAAAAATGATCGGTTAGTTTTGTTTTTTGAAGTTTCTTATCTACTAATTTTGTATTTTTACAGTAACAGAAAAAACTGGACTTTATTTTGTTCATATTACTGCATTAGCAATTGCTTGTCGACGATTATGGGTCGGTACTGGTACCGGTATTATTATTTCAGTTCCACTGATTGACAGTAAGTAATATTTGTTATTGTGTACATTTTTTCTCTCTTAGTATTTCCTTGCAGTCAACTACGAGTATTCTATTTGTAGGTATTACAACAACTTCTAGTTCAACATCAATAAAGCCTGGTTCGGTTGTTCGTGTGCACGATCCGATATCACCTTCAAACTATATTCCATATTGTAGCATGAATAATGCTCAATTATCATTTCATGGATATAAAGATGCTGTGAAATTTTTCGTAGCTGTACCTGTTCATCAAGAAGAAACGATTTCTGAATCGTCGACAGATATATCATCGTTCGGTGATATTTTTGTTGTCAGCGGTGGAGATGGTTACATCGATTTTCGTGTTGGAAATACATCGGCAACAGACAGCAATAGACATGTATCATATCTTGCTATTTGGCATTCGGGTTCCGCTTAAATAAAATATATAATCGTTTTCTTTTTCTCGTGCACTTTCATCGTTAACAGTAATGTAATGTGAACTTGTTTAAATTCTTTATAATTACGAATTATGATTAGCTCTCGCTGTCGTTTTCCTTATACATAGTATTGTTTATTCTTGTTGTTTCATTGTTTTTATAGTTATTTAGTTAGTTCGAAGGGATCTAATTATCTATTATTTTGGATGTTTTATGAGAAGAAAAATATATCTTTTTTCGGTTCTTCAAATGACTGCTTGAATGATTTCTGTTCGTTGACTACATTTAAATCAAATGCTCCATGAATAATACCTGTAGTATGCGAGCGAAAGAAATTTAGTCATAGTATGTGGGAGACTATCATGCATGAAAGAACAAGGCCTATAATTATCTTTTTTTTATACCAGTAAAGAAAAATACAAAGTATTAACGTATATAAGCACAGTCATTTGTTTTTACGACCATTAAGCGTTTCGTATCGTCGTCAACAAAGCAATGCCTAAAGGTACCCTTGAAGTAACAATTGTCGAAGGACGGCGTTTCAAAGATAACGATACTGTTGGACAGAGCGATCCTTTTATTGAACTTTACTTACATAAGAAGTATAAACAACGTACAGCAACTGTGTCGAATACCAACGATCCAGTATGGAACGAACGATTTACATTCAACATAGATGAAGGTGAGGATACGATTCACTTCGATGTTTATGATGAGGATGTGGGTGACAAGGACTCGATTGGTAGTGGGAAAGTGAAATTGAAAAATGTTTTTGATGATGGAAAATTTGACGAATGGGTTAAATTACCTGCTCATCTTGGCATATCTGTTCACGGTGAAATTCATGTTATTATGAATTTTCAGGTTAATTTTCGATTATTCATCATCTCTAATATCTCACATTTTCTACATTTATTTTAGCCCTCATAAATATCAATAACGGCTTAAATCTACCATGCAAAGACGGCATGCTAATTTATTCTTAGCCGATTCGGATATTTTTTTCAATAAAATAAAAATACATGATTTGAAAAGATTTTTTTCTCAAATATATCCTAATATTTCAGCTTCTGCGTATTGAACAGCATCACTTAGACTACGTTGTGATGTAACCAATAATCGATAACTACTAAAAGCAATTGTATTTGAAAAAGTTTGTTGTAGCATATATGTAGAACGAGCAGGAGCAGCTACAGGATTAATCCCTGTTGGACCACTGTATATTTCGAGTGTGACAGTAATTGGATCACGAGTTGGAAAATCATTTGCACTAGCAAAAAGAAGACCCTTCTCAACCGAAGCACTGCTTATTGCTGGTGTTGCATAAAAACTGGTACCGACTCCAGGGCCTAGTAGAACGGCACTTGGGCTACCTTGAACTCCAAAATTGAGACACTTCGTACTTGATAATCCATCAATAGCTTCGGGGGGCATTTCACCAGGGTTAGAATATCTACCGTTCGAAGCACCCGTAGGCCCACCAGCTGTAGTGCTATATATGCCTACGATCGGATCGCCTGACCGTGTTATTACGACAACAGCTGGTGAAGTCGTTGATGTCGTAGGTTTGATCAGCGCGATAATTAATCCGGCGATACCTGCAGCGATTAAAAGTACAGCAAGTAAAGAAAAAAAGATACAGAGTGGTGTGCATGAGCAGCAATAGGCTGAACCCAAACGTCTGAAAAAATTCTGAGATAGAAATCAAATTAAAGAAACACAGATTACCTTCTTAGTCTTTTCTTCGATTTCTCTTGATTAATACTATCGATCGAGCTTCGTTGATGTACGAAAAAAATAGAACGAAATTCCGTCACTCACTGCATAATCATTTTGTATACTAAATCCAGATGAATTATGTCGATCGAATTCATTTGAATGAACTGAATCATTAGTATGTTGATGTTTCAGATATTTGTTTCGTTTATTTCGATGATGTCAAGTAACTGAGACATGTGCATAGAGAAAAAAAATTGGCATTTGTAAAAATACTAACTGAATTAAATTTTTCATTCACGCCATTCAACTTATTTCTATTGGGTGTACTCTAGCTTTTAATGATCGATTGCTGATAGAAATGGTACGTTTCGAAATACCTTTATTGGATAATGATTGAGTACGATTTGAACGAGAAACTCTCGTAACAAGTCACGTAAATGATGCAGTCTGTCGTCAAAGATTATTTGCCATTGTTGAAACGACGAAAATAATTTTCGAGATGATCAACTTCTACTTTCAGTGCAACAATACATAAAATATTCTTATTTGGACAAAATGCAACAGAGTACAATAAAAAAAAGAACGCCTGTAAAAGAAATTAAGTCGACAATTTCATGCATCAGTTTTTCTACAAGTCATTCAAGTAAACGAATTTTTGATTGAAATAAACCCTACTACTTATTATACATTTCAATCTATAGATTACATTTTCTTTGTTGTCTTTTGTTTTTCAACGCTTCAATTAGTATTCATTTGTAGAAAAATTCTTTTGATGATCAGTAGTAACTCATATATTCATTGAATTTAATAATAAACTAGAATAAAAACTATAAGATGGCAAATTACTATTAATTGCATATTATATCAACATCTTTACATTTAGATACCGTTAAAGTTATAACTAAAAATAGTTGCCACACATAGTGAAAATCAGGCATACTGAAAAATTTGCAGGGAGATTACTTACAAGTTACTCCTATGCTATCGATATATGTATTTAAATGTTATTTGGCATCTTTCTACACTGCAGCAGAATTTCTGATTTTCTGGATGTGTTAATCAAACGAATACACTAAGAGCACTCTTGTATTGTTCTTTAATGTGTTCTCTATACATCATTTCAGATGAAGAGTTCAACTTTATCTAATCTAATTTGACAGGCTGAATGCTCATCGTTTTAAAAATTGAAGTCATTGAGACACAGTTTAATACGTCATATCTTTTTGTTTGCTATTGACGTTCAAGCCATTTCTCTGCTGCTGGTGAAGATCATCTATATTCCAGAGAAGGCAGTCTTTGCTTCTTTTGTATTGTTTCGATGGATGATCCCAATGTTCTGAAACAGAGGGTGTGGATGTGGGTCTGACTGGGCTGTGCTTATGGTTGTCTAATGAATAATTTACCCACACTGTCAAGATAATTTTTATCATATTGATTGTGCTTTGAATGTTTGTTACAGATAGAATGTCAATTTTCAAAGAGTCTTTCGTTTAATCAGATACAACGATTTTGTGGAATAAAATATTCTTCTTGAGATAGCTTCACACATTTTCCACAAGTATAAACTATTTTCTTTTTAAGTTCACGATTTGATATATATGTTGTGTATTAATGCTTGAATGTCGAGACCATATTACTCATCATTGGAACGTTGGGGGAAGTTAGCACAAGATTCGATTTTTTCCAGCCCGGTTTCGCCTATATGGTTGTGTTGAATTTCATTTTCGTTGTGTTGGATGCATAATCTTTGCGCTGAATCAAATGGTGTAATTTGTAAAGGGGGTTGCCGATCAAAATCTGGCACTTTACCTNTAAAAATACCTATTAGTAGACAGTTGATAACATTCGATGCAGAATTTCATTCTGAATTCAACACAACCATTTCCAGAACCAACACAGCTAAAGCAGCGTATCCGGGCTGGAATTACTTCTACGAGGTTTTCAGAAAAAGCAGTATTTCCAGGTAAAGTGCCAGATTTTGATCGGCAACCCCCTTTACAAATTACACCATTTGATTCAGCGCAAAGATTATGCATCCAACACAACGAAAATGAAATTCAACACAACCATATAGGCGAAAACCGGGCTGGAAAAATTCGAATCTTGTGCTAACTTCCCTAACGTCCATTGGATAGTCTTATTAATCAACAGTAGAAAAGTAAACTACATAAGATTGAAAATGGGTAATCAAATAGTAATGATGTTCTTCGAATGTTATCAACTGTCTACTAATAGGTATTTTTATGAGGTGTGCCAGTTTTGTATATAGTGAAATAATATTCAGTTTCATACAATCACTCAAAATGAATAAAGAGTGTCTGCGAGTGTGACTCATTCTTTTAAACCATAGTTTTCATCCGATAATGGATGTAAATCAATGCCGTTAATCTTATTATTGAGCTATGTGCGAAACAAATATTGTTGATCAAATAGTTCAACATTGGATAAACTTTAACACTCGATCCGACGAAGGACTCTACTACTTAATGCCATTAAATAATCACATGATTTACAAACAAGTGTCCGTCAAGGCACTGTCCCAAAGACTATGGCACAAATATGATGGATAGTCTGGCTGTTTCTGTATAATAAGTAGAAACAGAACAAATAATCAAGTAAACAAAGGTAGTATATAAGACTGCTATAGAGTTCTTCGTAGCAATAGCTATGAAGCGCCCATGATTCAAAAGAAATTAACTACTGCAATGCTTTGTCGAATCTTAATCAGGGTACTTCAACCAATGTTCAAAGTTATCCAATACTCAAGATACTGAAAATTAGATGCTCACTGACCTTTTCTCCCTGGAATTGTCATTTCAAAATTGGAATTTTCTATTGCACGGGCTAGCTCAAGTGTTGCAGGTTTATCAAGATTTATTGATATTTAAAAATGTTTGACTTAACTGTTTACTTTTTCTATAATCAAAGGAAGGACTTAATAAAAGAATAATAACAAATTTCTATTATATTTCGTGTGACAAATAGAATTCAGACAAACTTGGTAGCAATTTTCGCTATCATTCAGTTCTCTTTATATCTATATCTTTTACAAATACGCTTCAGATATAAGACTGTTCGAATAATTTCAGCACAATCATTCTTATTCATGTTCACTTTTCATTGAAATACTCATAATATCGATGGTGAAATTTTCTGTTTTTTTTTGTTACTAGTAGTTATTATGTGTACTTGCTGATTTTTAAATTCTTTTGACTCATAGTTATTCGATTTAAATAAAAGCATAGAAAAACAAAAGAAAGGTTTGAGTGTCAAAAAAATCGCTCTATCATTTGCTTTATTCTTAATCAATCGATATAATATCATCACAAAAAAATCGCTCTATCATCTCATCAATATTAATATTCATTCCAATCGTATACAATTTAAAAAATATCAATAAAGAACTCATTGAAAAATAAAAAATACAAAAGATCTAATAGTGGAGAAATATCTTTATTTATCAAAAGAAATAAATCAATAAGATAAATATGAAGAGCAGAAACTATATTATAAGTTTTTATTGCTGAAGAATCATTTTATTAAGTGATTGTTGATTAGATAAAATAACTTCAACAGGATAAGATCCATTAATCATTGATCCTTCCCAGGTCGATCGAAACGGACCATCGTAAGCGGTCGTTTTTGCATTGTATTCCGCCGTAAAACGGCCGCTTAAGCCGAATTAAGGCGTTTTAACAGGGTCAGTATTACGGCCATATACGGACACCGTATATCAGCCGTACAATCTCGTAAAGCCGGCGTAATATTATCGTATGCTNATAAATATGAAGAGCAGAAACTATATTATAAGTTTTTATTGCTGAAGAATCATTTTATTAAGTGATTGTTGATTAGATAAAATAACTTCAACAGGATAAGATCCATTAATCATTGATCCTTCCCAGGTCGATCGAAACGGACCATCGTAAACGGTCGTTTTTGCATTGTATTCCGCCGTAAAACGGCCGCTTAAGCCTAATTAAGGCGTTTTAACAGGGTCAGTATTACGGCCATATACGGACACCGTATATCAGCCGTACAATCTCGTAAAGCCGGCGTAATATTATCGTATGCTACAGAACATACGGCCGCATTACTGCCCCTGTTATACGGGAAAATACGGCACGTAAAACGGGCCGTATTTGTATCGTATACGACCGTTTTCTTCGACTGGGGTTGTCGAGTAATATAAACCGATTGATTAAATAATAACTTTTTCAATTGACGAATTACATTAGCTGAATTTTGCTTTAGAAAAAGAAATAATTTCATTTAATTTCATTTAATAAATATAGAAAATAATGATTTTCATTTTGACTTACTGATTCATCACAATGATGTAAACAAAATGGTTGGACAAATGCTGGTATTGTAGAAAATTTATTATCAATTTGTAATAATTCTGATCCATGAACAATAATTTCATCGCCACGATCAATAAGTTTAACTAATACTTTTGATTGACTTTCACGACGTCTAATTAAAAAGATAATAATAAAGAAAGAAATTTCTTAGAATATTTTCTTTAAAATTTACCTTATTATAACACGATAATATTTATCACTTTGTTGAATAGCACATAGATTACCATCCAAAATAACAGTTACATTTAATGATTGATCATTAACAAAACTATCATAATAAGCTTTGAGATCTTTGCATACACCATCAAATGTATCTCGATGAGAATAAGGAAAAGCATAAAATTCCGTAGCACTATAGATTTGCGATATCCAATAGTATCCATCATCTAAACAGATATATTAAAACAGAACAAATGGAAAGAATGAATGAACCTTACTATAGGTGGTACAGTTGGAACAGTTGATGTTGAACCAGTAGTTGTTCTGAAATAGTATAAAATGAACTTGATCTTCTCGTTAATTAACAAATAAAGATTAAAAAAATTCAATTTAAAGTTTGTATTCGTTCATTTTAGTTACGACATAATTCTTTCAAAAGTACAATCTTAACTTACTGTGTTTGTCGTCCCGATAAAGTTGTTCCTGGTGCAGCAAGTTGTGACGGTTCACTTGAAGTGATGGTCGAATGTTGAGAAATACTCGTTGGACGAGAAGCCAGATTGTTGCTAACAAGAAATGTACCAAGATCATCGATAGCTAAAATGATAAAAAAGAAACTATCTAGAGAAAGCGAGAGTAAATGTAGACAGAAAAGAAATGAGGTCAAGTAATTTGAATATAAATTCTCTTTGTTTTTTTTTCCAAACACTTCGCTCAATCTTTCTTCTATTTATTGGTGAAATTCGTTTTTCAAAATCTAGTGAGTGTACCAATACACAACGTATTCTTTGAATCCTATTTTTGGATTCTACATTCATCCCATTAAGGGTGTATATAGAATCTCGCTGGTACTGTTGAATTCAGTGTAGAATCCTTTCTATTTTCTATATAATTATCAAAATCAAATTCTTAGATGTGGAATAAAGTAGTTTTTGATGATTTTTTTGCTAACTGGTAGCTCAAAGACTTTTCTATTGCTTTGAATTAATCTTAAGATTATAAGCCAAAAGTGTTTTTTTATAAAGCCTGCAAAAACAACAATAAAATATTTTTTTAAAATGCATTCACCTCATATAGAATGAATATAGGATCCTTATTGCGCTTGCGGGATGAATGCAGAACCTCAGCAGATTTTGTTGAACATACGAAAACTCAAATTTTAAGCAAATCTGTAAGTAATTGTGAGATGTTCTTGACAGCAAAATTAGTTAAGATGATGAGATTAATAACCCTAAAGTATTTTCAAAATCGATTTTGAACTCTTCGTATATACTTTTGCCTGTTATACGTGATTGAAAGATCTGTTATTAGCCTGAGATGATTATTCTGTCATGTGAACTTCATCAAAAATACATTTGATATGATCTTTCCCACTTATGAAAACATTTAAATGTAGTTTTGTTTCTTTTTTAGAAGTTGTGGATACAGTTTACCCTCGTGAGAGGCATCTACAGAGATATCTATACTCTGCTATCGAAGTTTTCATTAGATTATTCTAAATAGCTTAGTGCAAAATATTGCAAGTAATTTATAATAAATTCACACGTACTGTTCAATACAAAAATACTATTTCATTAAGTGTACTATGACTATTTAATATTTATTCAATTAACATTTGATTTATAACTTCACTAGTTATTAGTCACGTTTTATAGATTTTCGCATTCATTAGCCTCATAGCAATAACATATTGTGAAAAACATATCTGATGTTGGCTCTAAAATTGTTTTTAATCTCTATTAGAACTTAAATTCTAATACATTAGTCTTGAATAAGCATTTTCGGAATAATTTTCTACATTCTATCTGAGACAATTTTGAATCATAATAATAACATCAACTAATAACTGATGCCACATTTGAAGATGTCTACGAAAAACGTTTTTAATTATTTTTTATGAAATTTGGGTTTGTGTTTATAAGTATCTACTGGACTTCGATACTTCTTAGCAATATAATAATGCTTATATGTCAGTGTGACGTCTGAAAACTATTAAGATATTTTTCTGTTGATTGATCAAATCTAATAGAGCTGATACTTTTTTCTTACTAGAGAAATACTACACCTTATCAGCCGATTAACTTCATATGGCGGTTGACCCAATGCAACATAATATAAATACTCGAATAATTTACAAACACTTGAAGTGAGTTAAAAAACGTTATTCAGTAGTATTTCGGACTGATACTAGACCATCTGAGAATTCTAAAACTAAATCAATAATTATTTACAATTTCGTAAGAAAATATTTTAGAACGCGTCAAAACATCTTTCAAATCAAAACGTAATAATTTAAAGAAAAGTTATACAAAAGATACCGTGAACCCAGCATATTCATGAAAATTTAGTACAAGTTTGAAAAACGAAAGTTTTAAACAAATTCTACCAGTGAATCACAATCTCATGAAGCTGCCTTGTGGAAGTTTGATTGATATCTATGTTTCCATCCACTAAAATATCTCCGTTCTTACATTAAAAATAGAATGAGGTGAAGAAACTAGACTAAATTAAATGACCAGTAGCCTAAAGTTCTAACATCAACAAATACGAAATATAACTATTAAGACTAGCAAGGTGGAGTACTTCAATCTGTTATTAACGACACATGAATGGTAAATTTTCTACAACTATCCGTTTATTGACATGATCTCCTTAGAATATATTTTTCCATGTTTCATAACAAAGAAGCTCATCACTTTTCCAACAGAAAAAGCTTTTCTACAATGATTTCTGTTATTCATGTACAACTATTCAAACGATGTAGCTGTTGTTCCAGCTATAATCGTAAAGTTATCCCTAAATACTGAATTTCATCATTATAGATTGTCTTTTTAAATAGCACTGATCCACGTATATCTCATTCTGGTTAGTGAATAAAATTTACTTAATAAAACATAGACTAAGTTAATAATTGGCCTAATGAAAAATTATTTTTATTTAGAAAGAATCCTAATAATACTTAATTTCGAGACAAAAAAAGCAATGAAATAATCTTTCAATTCTCATTATATACAAGGCAGATAGTGTCAACCATTTCTTTAAAAAAATTCACACGGAGAGAAAGTCATTTCTGGATAATATCAGATCTTTCAATCGTATATAACAGGCAAAAATATATATGAAGAGTTTAAATCGATTTTTGAAATGCTTTAGGGCTATTAAGCTCATTATTGTGAATAATTTTGCCGCTGAGAAGGCCACAAAATTCCTTATATATTTATTCCCACTTATTCTATTTTCATCATGAAGCTCTATTTTCTTCAAATCATTAATTACTTACTTGCCAGGAACTATGATTTCAACATCATAATATACTTGATCTTGTTGTGGACGTACTACTTGGCAAGTAATATAATTAACCATAAGCCTTTGAAATTCATCATGCACTTTATCATCTGGTTTCCATATTGGTTGTTCATTGCCATTTATTGGACCTATATTATATAAACGACATGGAATAGCAAGAGCTGGTTCATTTAAAAATTCGTCTGGCAATTGACGTAACTTGTTTTGGGGAATAAATTCTATTTGTCCAATATCAATAAAATAAATCCGAAATTTCTGTAAATCATAACTAAAATCTTTAAAAACCAAAAATAAAACTCTCAAAAACAAATATTTCATTTTATATCCAACCGAGCATAACATCACGAAGCCACATAGCATTATTATCTTCTACAGCAACTGCTCGATACTTCACTGATGATGATATTGGTGAAAGATTTTTTTCAACTTCTTGCAATTTGTTTTGCAACTAATCAAATCCACAAATATAACTTCATCTTAGAAGAAATATTTTCTATTTACCTGATTATGTGATCGGATTTTTTCTCGAAGATAAACATAAAAGTGGCTTGGATTTATATAATAAAGTAGTTGAATTTCATATGATATACCAGCATACAATTTTGCCATTGGAATATCTTTAAACAAAGATAGTAAGAAATATAAAATAAATAAATCAATATTTTATTGACATACGTTGTAAACAAGTTCATCATTCATTTGAAATGTTGCATTTTGACTGGTGTTTTACTTGGTTGAGCTCAGGGGCGTAAGTCAGGTCTCAGAGCAGGGGGGACGTAAATTTTTTTTCTGTTTTGGTGAGCAAAAAGACGAAATTTTCAAATCCCGGGGGGGGGGGNCCCCCCCCCCCCCCCCCCCCCCCCCCCCCCCCCCCCCCCCCCCCCCCCCCCCCCCCCCCCCCCCCCCCCCCCCCCCCCCCCCCCCCCCCCCCCCCCCCCCCCCCCCCCCCCCCCCCCCCCGTTACGCCCCACTCACCCCCTCCCCTATTTACGCCCCTGGTTGAGTCTGCATCTTTGCGAGTGACATTTGAGAATAACATTGGAACGGAAATCCCCATCGATTAGGATCTTTGTAATACATACTCAATGAATTATTTCAAACAATGATCACAATTCAATAGTATATCATATAAATACCAGCAGATTATGACTGTTCATGTTCTTCCAACTATCTACAGGTTCCAGAACGATCTTAAAAAACAGACGCTTTATGATAAAATATTAAAAACAATATAGACCGACTACTTCTTACATCACAACAGGAGGGTTTGGCAAAGTTAGAAAGAATCGTACTTTTTCTAATTATCAACAAATTGTATTCTTATGAATATCAACATGCGTCGACGTCATTACCCTGCACCAATATTTCCCTCGATAGAGACCTATCATAAATCATGAAATCATATCTACTAAAAATCATTGAATCGATCTTACTGCAATTCTTTTTCTGTTATCGTTGTGCCATTGAGTTTGTGGTAATTCAAGTTTAACTTGACTGTTTTCCATTAAACCTACTGTCAGATCAGAAAACTGGTCCTTTCTAATGGACTGCGCTCACTTCAGTATAAATATTAGATAGTGTTAATACGGCTTTTTCAGAAAATTTATATATGCCATTCTGATCAAGAATTACTTCAATCCAGACTTTTGACTTGATAGGCAAAATATTTCCAATCGAAGCTTTCTCGAAATTACTTTCTATTATTTTAAATGATTCATTTCTATGTTCAGGTTCTTTCTTATAGAAATCATCTCTATACTTACATGTGCTAACTGCAATAAACACTGTATGACATTTTCATCAAGTTGACCTATTCTTTTCATGAATTTGGCCATCACCACGTGTATTTCGTTCTTTCAATGTTCTCATTCAATCTATAATTTCTCCTTGATATTTCATATGATTGTGATAAAAAAATATATACTGAAATTCTGAAGTATCATACTCCTAAAGTAGTGTATTATATAAGCGTTTAATTTTCTCAAAACTTTCCTGAAAACTTTCTTTCATATATTAATTCCTGGATAGGTTTGTCCTTTTTATTGAAAAGAGAAAAAAATGTGCCCACAGAGAGAACAATTTGGATAAAAATTAATGCAACACAGTGTTTATGTTTCTGTTATATCCCCTTGTAATAGTCATAATTCAATATTTGTTATCTCGTTGTACTACCGGTTTCAACCTTGCTCAAGGGTTTCATCAGGTGACTTTCAAAAAATAAAAACCAAGCCAGTCACGACCGGATCACCGGCCCCAATCATATTTGTTTCGGATAATATTGTCAATGTTTCGCCAAGAAGGTGTTTTTCATCGATTGAACTCAGTTTAATAAGCCAAAGCTCATCTTTTTTTATATCTGACAGTATAGTATTGCGCATCGTATGACTATTGCTGATGCATTCAACATTTTGCAAACGAAAAATGGCACCGGGGGCAATAATCAGCTCGTCTTCTTCACCACTTCCGTGTATACAGCCATAATATCGTGTTACATGTGACGTATTGATTTCCATATCAAATAAAACTGCTACGCTTTCAGTAGTGTTTGAATCAGCTGCTGCATATATATGAGCCACAGAATGAGTGGAAGTTGTAGAAAAGAAGCTATTATTGAAGACGAGTTGACCAATGTTATTAATTAAACCATTCAGTTCATCGCGAGACATTTTTTGACCACGATAACGTCTTAATAACATAGAATCCTCTTCATCAAGTTTTTGTTGTTTATGTAGTTTTTGCAATTCTTGGTAGAGATCGGTAAGAAAAAGACGAAGATTGTGAAGCAGTGCATAATTTTTTAATCGAAGTGCTCTGTTTGCAATACTACATAAACCAGAATCACCCCGGTACCATTCTATCGGAGGTTTAGTAGGGTAAACATTACAAAAGCATCCTGAGTCTTTAAAATGATCCATGAACAAGTAATAGCACAATTCTTGGCACATGACTGTATTTGATTGGTTGTCGGGTAACGTACGAAAAAAAAGATCGAGTGAAAGCAAATGTTTTTTTATTCGATGAGTGTTGTTATGATATCTTTCGATAATTAGATGTTTTTGACGTCGATTGCATTGTGATGTTTCTGCAGAATAATATAAAATAGTGTCACTCTCTCCATACATTCTAACTGGAAGCTTGATTCTCTCTACATCAACTTCATTTAGCTTTCGAAGAATGATCCCCACTGTAAGAAAAAGAGTAGAGCAATAAACCCTTGTCCTTTCTACAAAACATGCTAAACCCTTGTAGGGTTTATGAAACGAAGGGTATATGAAAAAAAGATGATACAAGAAAAAAAGGGTTTAATAATCTGAGATTTAGGGAGAAAGGTATATGATTTTATCTCCAAGGGTATATTAATATGAGGTTTCGAGAAAAGGGTTTATTACTTTCGTACTAAGGGTATTTTATTCTGCGCTGGGGAATTTATTGTTCTACTCCATCATCAAAAAGGGTTTTTATTCTTCCTTCAAAGGATTACACTTTTGGAACTGATATATACGTGTATATATCATGAAAATTTCTCACAGGGCAATTCAAACAATTTAATACAATAAACATGTTAATCCAATCATTTTCTCACAATGCTGTCATTCATGCATCGATACACTTTTCATTTCGTACCTGTTTCGTAAAACATAACGGTATGATAAAGAGGCGCTAATTTCTCTAATAAATTTTGAATAATTTCGAGGTAAACTTCAATTCGCACATTGTTTAAAAATCAAAATCAGATGGCTTCACGTCAGCAACTTCATACAAAAACTTTGAGTTAGATCAATCTGAAAGATATTATGGTGATTGAGGATTTATTCCAAACTTGCTGTGGTATTCAGAAAAAAGTTTGTTTTCACATCCATCCAAGAGAACAAATTAAAGTAGGCATTTTGCTTCAATATATTTATATTCTTCCTTTACTTGGTTGAAAATAAGCTCACCATAATGCTAGTAATAACATTTCAAAAATAATTTCTGGTTGTCTTTAATTTAGATCAGTCGCCGCAGCTAATGGAACACAAGGGTAATTACTTATATATTTGCATAATAATAATAGTAATAATATCTCCCATAGGCTTATCGCCCGTTGGGGCCGGCGCTAAAGGGTCCAGAAGCAGCCAGATTCTATCGTGTTTTCCCTTTTACAGACGACGGTATCTGCACCCCATTCGTCCAACGCTTTCCCCGTTAATGATTATGGGTTGACGATCATCATAGGATCACGTGGCCGTGCCATCTATGTTGAAGTTATTGTTTTGACTCTGCATACTAACTAAGGATATAATCGATACGCTATCGGATGAGTGATCCGGAACAATTAGCCGTTAGTAACTTGTTCAGGGTCATTCCATGGTTGGTGATACTGTGGTTTGAACACAGTACCTTGTGAATATGTGTGGAATAACATATCCACTCAACCAAGGCGGCTATATATTTGTATCTTTTCTTTTATTTACTTCCATTCAAAATTCAAAAATGAAAACGGAAGTATTAAAACTTTCTCTGTGACTATTTCCTTCTTTTTATTTCGGTCCATTGATACAATGTATTCAAAGTGAATATATCGTTTCACATATGTCTTTATAAATCTTATATTTTTCTACCTTCAGCTCAATATCAAACAAATAATGTAAGTATAAAAATATTTTATAAAGAGCTATTTCTTTTTTTCTATTTAGATACGTCGAAACTATACGTGGGAAAGAGCTATGAAGATCGATTTCTGACATATGGGATAACCCAGCCAGACAAGCGCCTTAAAAAATGCGTTACAGCGAATACATATTTTGACGCTTTCATGTTGCAAGACGTTAGAACGTCTTAAAATGTCGTAAAAACGCCGTATTTATGATTTCATGCATTTTGCATCTACATCTCATAATAGAATTTCTTACGACCCACACCCTTTTTATATCTGACAGTATAGTATTGCACATCATATGACTATTGCTGATGCATTCAACATTTTGCAAACGAAAAATGGCACTGGGGACAATAATTAGCTCGTCTTCCTCACCACTTCCGTGTATACAGTCATAATATCGCTTACCATGTGACGTATTGATTTCCATATCAAGCACAAGTGCTACGCTTTCAGTAGTGTTTGAATCAGCTGCTGCAAATATATGAGCCACATATTGATTCAAAGTTGTAGAACGGAAGCTACTATTGAAGACGCTTTGACCAATCTTATAATTCAAACGATTCAGTTCATCGCGAGACATTTTTCGACCACGATAAACTATGAGTTGCTTGGAATCCACTTCATCTAGTTTTTGTTGTTTATAAGGTATTTGCAGTTCTCGGTAGAGATCAGTAATAAAAAGACAAAGATTGTGAAGCAGTGCATAATTTTTTAATCGAAGTGCTCTGTTTGCAATACCACATAAACCAGAATCATCCCGGTACCATTCTATCAGAAGTTTGGTAGGGTACGCTGTGAATAAAAAGAGTAGAATAATAAACCCTTGTCCTTTCTACAAATCATGCTAAACCCTTAAAGAGTTTATGAAACGAAGGGTATATGAAAAAAGATGATAAAAGAAAAAAAAGGGTTTATTTATCTGAGATTTAGGGATAAGGGTATATGATTTTATCTTCAAGGGTATTTTAATATGCGGTTTCAATAAAAGGGTTTATCACTTTCGTACTAAGGGTATTTTATTCTACGGTCTCGAGAAAAGGGTTTATTACTTACTTAAAAAGGGTATTTTATTCTACGGTGAGGGATTTACGGGGATTTATTGTTCTACTCCATCNTTGCAAGACGTTAGAACGTCTTAAAATGTCGTAAAAACGCCGTATTTATGATTTCATGCATTTTGCATCTACATCTCATAATAGAATTTCTTACGACCCACATCCTATACATCTCTGCAGATAAATATGTGCTATTTTTAACACATGCACTTAAAAAGATTTAAAAAATTGATCAATAATTTTATAAAAGTATGAGAAATATATACGTTATGGATTTCTAGAGAAATAAGAAATATGTTAGAAAATTTTTGAAAAACTGAACAAAACGTTTTTAAATCTTTTAAAATTCTTTTTGAGGAAGTATATTTCTAAAACAAGTTTTTCCTAATTTATTTAAATATTTAAAAAAATAATTTGTATTTCCAAAGAAATAATTTTTTAAAAGCAAAATATTGGTATTTAATTTAAAATGTAATAACAATTGTTCCACTTAATTTTATATCACCTTCAGTTTCCTATAAAATTTCGTTCAATTTAAGTAACTCCCCCCCCCTCCCCGTAATAAAAGACACGGGGTCTTCTGTAATGACAAAGCAGATGAAATTTCAAAGGGGGCCTTCTATTTGGGGAGAGTCCTTCTATTTGAAACATAGTCTATGTTGATAGAAAGTTTTAGAAATCTTGAGATAAATATTTATTTTTTATTTTCTATGTTCCATTCACAATTTCGAATTGACAAGAGATGCAAATCAAAACATAAATTTACATAAGTTACAGAAATATAATAATTACCATTTTTGGGGTACCGAAAGACAAAGCATATTCTCATCGTCGTCGTCCATAACTAATCAGTCCATTTAGAACAATGTAAGCATTAAAATGAAGAATAAAATGTCTATCTGACGACGATTGGTGCTCGCCTCGTCGATCAATAATCTTTATAATGACTCATGAATGGAAAGAATGTATCTTCTCCCACTTTTTCTGAACAGAGAGAAAAGATGGCGCGCGCGCGAGAGAGAGAGAGAACATAAATGTATACAGAAAAAAAAGTTTCTTTTCTGCGAAGAGGCATGGACATATCAAGTAATAGCGAACATGGACAAATTATAAAGCCCGGGTCTTATATTAAGACAATTATTCAAAATTTTTAGGTAGCCTTCTAATCGAGGAGGCCCTTTTAATCCGGAGAGTATTCTTTTCCTGTGGGGGGGGGGGGGGCCATTTGTTAATTCATCTTGTTATCGTACGACTGACAGAATGGATAACATCTTGGACTATCAACCAATTTATCTCATGGTCGAACTTAGAACAACGCAGTAAGTTCCAAAACCTTAATTTTAATCTGGTAGATAAATTACAAACCATAGGTTGTGATGTGCATTGTAAATACAAACGAAAAAGAATCATAGTGTACTCATTTGTTTTTGGATTCTTTTTCCTGAAAGATTGTTAACGCGTTTTCTAAGGCGTTTGTCTGAATGTAAGAAAAGTAATAAACCCTTTTGGGAGTATGAGACAAAAGTAATATACCCTTTAAGGGTATACTAATATACGGTTTTTATTTACAGTGCAGATTTAAGCGAACGAAGTAAAAAGGCGTTTTATACGGATGCATGTGATTACTCGTTCAAAACACTTTTACACTGTGCTCGCTTGAACCTGGATGTTAGCGCTCGCGAAGAGCGCCGAACACTTAAAATGGGCGTGTTTTATTATCTCTCTGTTAATTCTTTGAGGAAGCAAATGTTTATATACGCACACGAAAACAGGGACAAGAAATAGAGGGGAACGGAGAGAGAAACGAAAGGACAAAAGAAAAGAGAATAGATAGAATCGAGGTATAAGTTAGTAGAACACACTAACACTCGGGAACTCTGGATACACTGTAAATTTTGAAAGTTTATTATTCGTTGTCCTGTTTTCATAAGTTTAGAAAATGTTCGATTTTCAAGAAAGTAGCGATTCATCGCAGAATTTATGTAGGTCTTCTGAATTTTACAGTGTGCAAACAAAACGAATATTTGATAAATACACATAATTATACATAATCAAAGTTGATCTTACTTGGTATGAATCGCTTAGTTGATACAGCGCTGTCATAATGTAATCCAGGTGATATTTTCATTCTGTGTTCCCGAAGCATTCCGCGTACCAAAAAAAATTCCGCAAAAGAGTCAATCACTCTATAAAATCCGTACTCCGAGTTGGGCTTTTTTATTATTTTGTTCCGCGCACCTGTGTGTCAAAATAATATTGACGAAATTACTTGTTGTAAGTTTTGTACAACAGAAATGATGATGAGTGTTGAAATATATACCAAAAAAATGAACTCTCTGTTTAACTTGCCCAACAGCAGTGACAAACAGCAACATGTCTAGTAAGGTTAGTGACAGTCTAGAATTCATTTCTTCTCGTTCTGGGTTTTCGCTACATCACATATTGACAAACACCTCTAGAATTCTTGAGGGTATGAGTATAATCAGTAATGATAAAGCTCATACCCTCAACAACATTCACACGCGCACCCCACGTGAAAGAGGAGACTTCAAAGATTCTGCATAAATAAACATGCTGTCATTCAAGTATAAATTGGCCATCAACGATGATGAACAAGATAAGCCAGTTTTTCCTGACGTAATTATGTCTAACCTCTTCACGATACAGTACACAGTATCACTATCTATCTATGGTCTCTTCATTTCACATCTTTGATGGTCTTACCGAAAAATGAACTTAAGAAAATGGATTTGCCAACGCCTGTTCTTCCAAGCGTGAATAATACTATTCTGGGAGATTTCCAATCAGATATCCAGCAGTTGCCTAAACATTCCTCTGGGTAAATTTGTATACGTTGAAACCAACACGAATCCACTGACGAGCTGAAATTCCTTTCGGGCAAAATATTCCATGAGCCAACAGATTGTAATATAACTTAAATAAATATTGGGGTATTTGCTGAAGATACAGAGTTTGAAAAGCAAGAATAAAATACATACGCTTTTTCAAAGATACCTGCAGTTTGTTATCAATCTCTTGTAAATATTGCATCGCAGCTTGTCTATTGTCCACATTCCCAGGTAGACCTTGATAAAAATCTAGTGCTTCTGTGAAAAGTTTTTTAGCCAGTGAATAATTTTGTTCCTTGTAGGCTCTCCATGCCGAATTTGAGTGAAAATAAGCCATGATGCGATCACCATCAAGCAATGATTTTTTTTTCGAATAAATATGTTTCTCAATTTCTTCTGTGGATATCGATGTCTCGACTAAAAAACAAAATGCTATGATGCTCACTTTTCTGTAGAAAGCGAAAATGATCAGTGTACTGATTTTGGAAAACGTTCTTCGTAAGTCGTCGTTGTCGAATCGTTCATAGAACTTCCTTTTCAGTTGAAACGATTTACAAAAGAATATTAATGCCTTTGCTGTCTGATTTTGCCGTTGATAATTTTCACCCAGCTCATAGTAGTTTATTGCTAAAAATAGTTGGAATAAATGTATACCTAAGCAAGATGACGCTAACAATATGTGCTACGAACCTGCCACTGTAACAGCGTCAGATATTCTCAGCATTTCTTTTGGCTGTAGTGTAAGACTAAGAATACCATACGGATTCATTGTTGTCTGGGTAGGACGGTGTGTTTTAGAAATAATTCTGAAAAAACGAATGAAAAATTTTAATTTTTACAGGGAAGATTATTACAGTATAGAAAAAGCGCTTGCTGTAATTATTTAAAAAAGTGAAATCCTTGCATCTTATATAGTATGAATGTTGGTTTTTTCTCACTTTTGTTTTTCAACGAGAAAAAGAAAGGAAGAACGAAAATACCATGAAATGGGGAATCTGATTCAATACCTAGATGTGTCTGTAAAAACAATTGCGTTTAAAAGGTGACGATTTGGCAAAAAGTCTATCAATTTTTCTGTTACGCACAGCAGGGTATTAAGAAAAAAATGTAATGCCCCATACACTTCAAAAAAATTCGAGTTTGTTTGTTTTCGATAGAACAAAAATTGCATGATGTTGGAAAAAACCAAGCAATTACCTATCACATATTTAGTACTTGAATTTTTCATCCTGTACGTCTTCGAAGAATGCAAATAAATGCCAAGACAACTATACTATTCTCTAGAGTTATATGACCAAACGAAAACAATAATCATACGCGCCGAATCGTTTCTGCGTACTGTTACTTCTAAAAAGCATAAGTAAACAACGACTGAAAAGAAAGCAATTCAAAGTTTAACCCTGCTAAACGCTGTATCCTAAGTGTATGCGTGAAGAGAAGAGCCATATCCGCCGCTACATCTGACACAAATTATACTCATACCCACACCCACACCCCATACCATCAAGAAATTCTCGGTTAGTAAAAAGCAAAATTCGTCTAAAAGCATCATAAAGAAAAGAAATAGTATGCTTGAATACGTGGGTGTGAGTTTAAATTAATAGAAGCTCACCACCTCCACCCCTACCCACATTCTCAGGACCACGCCCTGATTCTTCTTGGATAGAGATTTCTGATAAAAAGTGGAGGCGATCAAATGGGTGTGGATGTGACTGTATTCTTAACTCAACCACACCCACACCCTCAAGAGGCTCATGTAAGTGTTTCAAAACATAGGTCAATCAAGGCAGTAGAGGATGGTGAATCGGATTTAATAACTTCATCAAGTTGATTTACTACAGGTTGAACATCAATTAAGAAACTTTTGCAGTTGATACAACATACAGAAATTAAACGGAAAAGGAAACGTTCAAAAAGTCACAATGTATAATAAATAAAATTTTCTCTCTGAAATCTTACGACGTAACAATCACTTTGAATAACAACATTCCTTTTGTCTTGTTCTTTCTATTTTTAGGGCGTGGGTGTGGTGTTTATTAGAGAGTAAACCCCACACCCACACCCAAATTAAGAAATTTTCAGTTTATTGTGAATATTTTGAAAATGATTATTTCGACAGTCATTCTAAAGGTATTTTAAAACTAACTTTAAATTTAAACAAAAATAAATCTTCGAAAGTTTTTATTCGAAGATTTTTTTGTAAAGAATGTATCAAATTAATTTTAGTAGTTTCATATTTGAATTTAATGATGAAACTTCTATAGAAGTTTTTATTATTGTTATATCATAAGTAATAGACTTTTCCAATAATTGGATGAATAAATTCTTTTCATCGTTTATCTCAATGGTTAAATTCTATTATATATTAGAATATTCACTATAAAAATTAATAGTGAGTCGTATAGCATATATCTTGTCATATTCTATTTATTATTTATATAATTAACCAATTAGAACAAACGAACAAAACTTGATAAAAATATATTTATTCGATTATTATTTTAAATGAAGATCAATATAATAATGGAGAGATCAAAATGATAACATCATTTTACAAATCATTTTTATATACATTTTCTTCGACTTTATTTAAAAGTATTTCATTATAATAATAATTGAAGATCGTTGAATGTTGTAATGATGTACATGTGTTCCATAATTTCGATGCTCCTGTTAATATACCAATAAATCCCCATTGATTTCTATTTGATGACAGAAAGCAAGGACCACCGCTAAAACCATAAGTTGATGGAGTATCTATAAACAACTTTCGATTATCAATTAATCGTAATTGGGCAGTACAATTCATGAATTTATTATTTAAAAGAAAATGTTCTGGCGTTTCACCATGAATTGCAGGAATAATTATTAACGGTGACGATGTGGAAAAAAATGGATCTATTATAAGATCAAATGAGACGGGTGGCCTACCAACAAATCCAATTACATTTATAGATGAACCAGATGATATTGATTGACTATTGTTTAATGCTACTTGACATATACTTCGATGTAGTTGAACATATTTGTTTCAATATTTGAACATTTTATAATGGCTAAATAGAAAGAAAAAAATTCATTTCTGAAATTTTCAATATTATTTATAATAGAAATTGAAAGTGAAGCTTTACATATTAGAATTATTAAAAAAATTTTAATAGTTATTATTGATTCCTATGAATTTAGTAAAAGTATTTTTATTTTGAGTTACTCTTTTAACTATGACTAATTATTTTATAGAAATGATTTTTTTGAATTCAACATTATTATTATGTTTGATAAAAAAATATATGTTCACATAGATTAAATTAGAAAAGCGTTGTCGATAATTGATAAAAGAAATCGAAATTTTAAAAATAACTTTTCTTTTTTGAGTTGTTTAGTTTACTCTATGCATGCATTAAATATCAAAATTATCGAAACATGTTCAATCATAATCAAATTCCAACGAAAAAAAAACAAACAAATCATTTCAATCTTCAATGAGCTTATGGCACTTCCTGTTCTTTTGAAATAAATAAAGATGATTTTCGCTTTTGCCTATAAAATAGAATAACTAATAATCTATTTACTGAAAGATTCTCCTTAGCTATTTTTAGACATCTTGTCTAATTCATTCGAAAAGGGATTTACCTTTTGCTAATTATTTGTTTTTACGGATCAAGTCAAACTAGGAAAAAAATCGTATTGAACAGATGGTTTTTTTATTAGACTTAATCTATGAACTTGTTAACATATAATAATATCCTTCTTACATGTTATTATTTAGAAATTGAGACTCAAGAAGATCTATATCGTTCAAAGTAAATATAAGATTTAGTTTTTTTTTAAAATAAACTTATTTATAATTTTCTTACACGTCTACAATTCCTTTTTTCATTGTTGATATCCAAGAAAAAGTTGTCTTAGTCTGAAAACGTATTTTCTTAATTAAAAATTATTTTCAATAGAATATTAAAACAAGCACACCAATAAACTTCTATCTCGATCAACAAATTGTTTTTAGGATAAAATCAATAATTTATTTAAAAACATGTTCCTCCTATGCATAGATTGTATTTTACCGAACTGTATCTTTTGTTTTAAATTAACGACTTTGACTTTTTCTTACGTATATTTAAAATTAAGGATCGAAATTTGTCAAGTTAATTTAAATGAACAATTAGTTATTGTTTTGTTTATGTTTTTAATGAGAAAAACTATTTTATATTAAATTTTACCCGTTTTGTTTTTCACCTATTAAAAGAAAATCTTGCTAAATTTTTGTTCTCTTTTCAACGAGTAAATTGTTAGACATAAATATTTAAATATTATTACTCTATAGTTGTTTCAAATAGATTCATTTCTTTCGTTTAAAAAACAAATAGGAAATGTTTTCAGAGTTCGATTGAAATATGATGAGTTTTCAATATATAGATCTTTACGCTATTGAATTAAATTTATCAAGTTTGAGCAAAAACAAATGCAAAGAATAATTCTTCTAACCTATATCATCCCACCAATCTTTTGACAATATTAATCTTGATGATATTAGTTGACAATCCATCGAATAGGATCCCATATTAAAATCATTTCTTCCTCCAGGTACTAAACAAAGTTGAAATAATGATTCAAATAGAAATGGGTAAATCATTAATATAATATCATACATAAAGCGTGTGCAAATTATCATATATATAATTAAACCACAAAACACTCGGAATAATTGTTGAGAAATGATCGATGAATAAAAGATAAGAGACCTCTTAGAATGATTAATGTCGTTAAAAAAGTAATAACCATAAACGTGAAGAAACTTAAATCCATTTGAGGTACAACTACATGAAATGCTGTTAAAATAATAATAGAAGATATATAATTTTCGATCGATTTACATATTATAACTCCACTTCCAGTTGATTCTTGAGCAAAATTAATAGACATATATTTAAGCATATATTTATGACCTATTTGTATAACACAACGAGACATAGGCTCAGTGAGTTTCACTTCACTGCATGAACCCAAAATTTTATAAGTTTTACCAGCTTGCTCAACAAAATGACGATAATTGACTGGAGGCTTTGGTAAACGATCAAAGTCATCATCTGATATACTCTGTTTGAGAAATAAGATTAAAAAAAAGACTAGATTTTTCACAATAGACATATTCTAAAAGATAGATAGATAAATAAATAAATATATTATGATATTGAAAAGAATATATTTTTTTCTAGCTTTTCTCAAATTTTATTTAAAAAACACGGTTTATCTGTGTTACTCACAAATTTGATACCAAAGCTTCTTTTATCGATTGAAAGCACTCTTATTTTATTTCCTATGGAAATCAACTCAACGAATTAGTTTAGATTGGTTGGTAATCAATCTATATCTCTAGTAATGTTTTCTCGATAGATTTATGATTACTCATCTACTCACTCATACCAATCAAAGAACTTCGATGATGTCTTTTGGGGTCAAATGTACTATACAGAATTGAATTAACTTAGCTCCGTTTTAGACCTTAAACAGATCAAAAATTCGTCAAAATTAGTTCTGTTTTGTTTTAATTCAACAGTTGTCCGAACTAAGAAATCAATCACCCAATCAGAGTATGAAACACGCCTCTTTCTATGTATGAAAAGTGCATAGTAAAAATATTGATGCATGAGAAGTGTCGTTAGCGTACGTGTCCGCTTAATAGCTAACAACACATTCCATGTCGTCATTTTGTATAGATATATATTGGCGACAATGATTGTAAAAAACAATGTGATACATGAAAGAAAAATTTATATTTACTAATTCTGGGCTGCGATTCGATCTATAATTACTATATTTTATCAAAAAGAGTAGAAAATTTCCCAAAACCTCTTAATGTTTGCTATTGTCTTTATACAAAAACAAATATTTTTGAATAGCAATTTTTGGAACACTCTGTAAATGATTTGTGCCGACTCATCAAAAGCAATTACTTCAAGAAGACTTATAGTCATTTGGAGGATAAGTTTGCTTTCGCGTATTATATAGTTTCTTCTAGGGTGTGAGTGTGGATATTCTCTACCAGAGCTCCACGTGGGCGTCTCATGGGATGGGATGGGACGAACATTTTTAGAAAATTTTAAGCAGACAAGAAAGAATCAAAGTCTCTTTCGATATGATTCTATTATATGCTTACTATCTTTATGCATTAAAATTATATTTATTGACGTAAGTGACCTCTTTCAAATTTGATTGTCATTTTTAAAACATTTTCGGTATATGTTGTTCAGTTTACCAAAAATATTTTAAAAAAACGAATATAAGCTTTTAAAAGTCATCTAAGACAACGATCTTAATTTTAATGGATAAAGATAGTAAGCATTTAATAAAATCATATCGGAAGACACTTTCATTCTTTCTTGTCTGCTTAAAATTTTCTAAATATGTTCGTCCCATCCCGTTCCATAAAACGTCCCACGCGGAGCTCTGTTCTCTACATCTAAACCCACACCCTTTATATCCATGAAAAATAAAAATAAAAATAAAAATATAATAATCGTTTGCATTATCTATTCATTTGTTTGTAAGGTATGATGTTGACAGCACGAGGATAATAACATGATGTGTATTAGTTTTCTGGTTTGCATGAATTTGAATCTCACAGTTTCTCTAAGTGGAAATTTATGGCGGCATATCTACCATCTAAAAAGAATAAAATCTCATGATTTTCTTGCTGATTCTTGAGACTAATATCAAAAAATCTTTTACAATGATATTTATTTATTGTAAAATCAACCAAAGAAAATATTGAAGGTACCTCTTGTTGTCATAATCGAAGTACAAGCAAAAAAAATCAGTGAAACATGAGCTGTATCAGAAAATAACATTTTCCTTCCGTATAATAGGAAAATAGTATTTCTTTCCGTGTTGTTAGTAATGGTGACTCATACGAGACATTAATATATCGATACTTTTATACAAACTGACAGCATCGACTAGTTTATTCTGTCTAACAGACTATTGCAGTTGTTTTTTGTATCGAGAATAAAATGGTTCGCATCAAGTCTGATCTATACAATCGCGATGAAAAATATGTGGCACTAAAATCAGTCGCAATCTCTTCAGATGTTTGCTCGTTTGTCGAAAAAACTGATGATGGAGAAATTCACGCTCAAGTGAAAGAAAAGATTCGAGTGCAACAAAAATATGTACTGTTAGCGTTAGTGATGTAACTTACTAACGCTAAATGATGATTCAGATGCGCTTTCTAGTATAACGGTAGTACATCTGCCCGGATAGTGGAAGGTATGGGTTCGATTCTCATAAAGGTCATCGTTTTCATCGTTCTGTCACATAACATCAGTGACACTGCTTGTCTCTTTCATTCTAGACATATTAGAGCCTAACATGTACAAGGTTTGCAGTAAGGCCACGGTTCTTGTCTCATGCAAAAAGATGAAAAATCACAAGACATGTTCATTATTAATGTGGCAGTACTTCTTCCCAGAAAAGAATGGCCAATTCAGATTATGTATATAGCCGAATTGGAACCCGTTAGTGGAAATAAAATTCGTTTCGTTGTACCAAAAACTATAGCACCGTGATACGATCCGTCGGTCGGTGGTACTTCATCCCCTGTTGATACAAGAGTAAAATTCGTTCAATCAACACCGTATACAATCGATTTCCGATGTGAAATCGATCGATTTAATAATAGATCATGAAATAACATTCAGTCAAAAAAAGGCGCATATGTATCGCGATATTATTGTCGCTTTTGAATTATCAACTCGAGCAAACACAATTTTAACTGTGAAAAACAATGCTAAACATCAATATGCTTTAGTAGCACCATTTACGCCTACACTGAAAAAAAAATGGTGCCACACGAATCCTTTGAGGTTTCGCGAAATTTCACTGTATACTAATTTATTAGATATCGCAGCAGTCCACGAAACCATTTTAAGGTTTAGTAATCAAAGAGGTTCCGTAAAAAAAAACTCTTTTTATTTTTGGTAGGTGAAAGGGTTTCGTAGGATACCTCTTAAAGATTTCGTATGATAATTTTTTCCTGTACATTTATGCTGCCGACAGATGCTGACTCATCAGAAAATGTCCAGCCTCGATTATTTCAGTCGTTTACGTATTTATTAGTCACTAGTAATCCAGTTTTAATATTGTATAACTGTATTTTTGAGCTCACATGTTTTCTTGGCGACCTCTTTCTAGAAAAAATACAGAATGTCTTCGCTAATATGGCAATGAACTTAAACATTTACCTTGTAAAAGATACTGACTATATGCCTCCAACATTATTTTATGCTCCCATTTCATGAATTACTACACTCAGTTTATTCCAGTTTTCACGGCTCCTAATATTTAAAATCGTTGATTCTTCAAACCACAGACTATTTAATATAATAAAATGATTAGTTGCTTGTCATTTTATCTATCTGGAGACTTATTCATTTAGAACAAAATGATGCATCTCTTTTCGAATTTAACTTGGGCAATCGCAAAACACGCAAGCACACAAAAAGACATCGGAGGATAGACACATATATAAGAGATGCACATAAATTGAAGCGGATCTGAATAGATACTGAGAGCTTAAGAATATATATAAAGTTAACGATGGATTATAGAGAATTCGAATACATATATCTACCAATAGCTAATATTGAAAAGATAAATGTTTGTATTACACTAATGCTAAGCTAACACGAATGCTGAAGTATTGAGTTACTGTTTTAACACAAATAAAACAGTATTAGATTATCTTTTCATAGTCAAATACAAAACTTTTAACAGCTTCTTTTATATTCATTCTAAGTCCACGTGCCCACTGTAGATATAGCTCAGAATTTAGACAGAGTTATGAGAACTTTGATATAGATATGCGTAATGATTACAGTTTTGAAAGGATTGCCGTAGAAAAAAGTGTTACATAAGCATATAATAGCTTAGACATAGTTATAAGAATTTATACACACTTTTATAAAAGTGGATATAGAAAGATGAAGGATAGAAATGGCGGATCCCGGTAAACAGAAGACACTGAGTATACATTTTAGAGGCTAAATATAGTATTTCAGCTTAAAACTAGAAATGACGGTTTAGATAAATGAATAAGAGGTAAGGAAGGACATAAGGAATTCATTTTTAAAAATAATCGTTTCGTAGAAAACTGGAGCTCTCTTGGAAGTCGTTTTGCAAATATTTGGAGGTTTTCCAGAATGTTTATCAACACTTGAAGAGTTTCCAAGAGTACATTCTTTGTTTCTAAAGGCTTGAAAATCCATAGGTTTCCGATATGACTGATTTTGTCCTAAAAATTAAGGGATGCATTGATAGAAACGAAAATTAATTGTACTTCTCTTTTGGATTCTACAAATGGATTTTATTCAAAGGGTAAGATACATTGAAGAATAGAAACATAATGCCAAACTTTATTTTCTCTTTAAGCTTCTTCAAATGAATTGCGCCCAATTGGTAAGTTATATTCGAGAATTAAAAACGAATGACTATTTTTCCTATTGTTTTAGATTTTCGAAGTAGTTTTCCTCCGAATGGTAAGTAACATTCAAGAATGAAAACCTAACATTAAAATTTCCTTTTCTATTTTAGATTCTTCAAATGGATTTCATCTAATTGGTGAGTTATATTCGAGAATCAAAACTTCAAATCAATTCTTCTTTTGTTTTAGATTATTCAAATGGATCTGGTCGAATGGTTAGGTGACATGTGAATATTCGAGAGATAGCGATATATGTCGCGTTCGTGATCTTATGACACATGGTACGATAGCGAAATCTCTATTAGCTGTCAATTTATTTCAGGTCCAATATTCGGTTTTTGTTTTCCTGAACTGTGAAACCTGCTAAGGGTTTATCGGGAAATAACGTTTTTCAGAAAATACACAGAATTAAGTAGTAAGGTACAGAATTAAGGAATTAAGGATTTAGATATAGAATTAAGGGGTTAATGGACAAATACAGGGTTAGATATGTCTTCAATAAGACAGATGCGTCTCTCAAGTGTGGATATAGGTTGAGTGAGCTCTGTAGAAAACGAATTGACAGTATATTTATGTTTGGCCAATATCATACGACGCGCCATACAAAAGCATCGACTACGAAACCTTTTTTAAGCTAAAAAAATAGTCTTATACGAAAATTTTTTGTACGAAACTAAAAAATGGTTCAGAATTCGTTTCAAATCTCGAAACCCTTTTTAGTTGCGTATGATACCTTTTATTGTTTTCAGTGTACTATCGATGATTGTAAAAAAGAGCATTGGGTGCTAATGAAAATCTTGATCATGTTAATAATGAATTTTTTTTTATTGTTGACTGTAGTAGTTCAACGGAAGATGACCATAAAATTGGTCTTGCTCGCTAAGCGATGATTTTATTTATCAAGAGTTTACCACTCAATTATCTATTAAATATTATTCGATTTTTGGATCTACTTATGAAATATTTTTTAATAATATTACTGAAAAGTATGATGAACAAAAGGCTAAACAAGCTGAAAATTTAATTTTACAAACATCAGCAAATATTGGTGGGACTGAATTGTTAAGATCTTTACAGTTGTTACAAAATAAGCCACCTACTACTGGTCACTCTCAACAGATATTGTTACGTACCGATGGTGAGATATCTAATGTGCTGCACAGGTGATGGATCTCTGTCAATCAATATTGATATCATCAAGAATATTTTCATTTGGTCTTGCTCATTCACCAAGTCGATCGTTGATAAGAGGTCTTGCTCGTTCAACGAATGGTCAATTCACATTCATTCCTCTAGGAACAAGTGTCGATATTCATATTGCTGAACAACTTCAGAAAGCTCTCGAATCATGCAATACCGATGCCAAAGTTAAATGGAATATTCAGTCATTAATATCGACGAATATTCAAATTGTACCAACAGTTGTTACGCCTACTTATGCAAATAAAAGTCTTTTATTTTATGCATTACTTGAAGCGGAACAATTTGATCATTCTACAGCTGTTGAACTCTGGAATCATGAAGAAACCTTTCAACTTAATTTAGCTTCAATTGATCATATACGTGATACTACAGATAACAATAGTAAACTTATCGCTCATTTGACAGCAGAATCGCTAATTCAAGAAACTACCCATTCAAAAGAACTATAAACAAGATTCCTACAAACCAAATTTCAATAGACTATAGAGGATGATCGAAAAAATCAGACAATTATTGTTTGTGGATATAGACTTGCTCTCTTAATTCATGCTCACCCCAAACCCATATTCATACCGACACTTACATGCACACCCATGTTAAAGAGAAAACCAATTTTGACAGAGAAAAGTTGTAAACCATTATTCTTTTTATCTCCATCTGACAAATAAGAAAAACAGTAGATTCTAAGTGATTTGTGTCTTATAGGCAGCGTGGGTATGTAAGGTCTATGGGTGCGGGTGCCGATCACGAGATTCACTACAGTCACAGCCACACCTACGCTTATAGATTCCATTAGCGATAATTGATTGAGAAAAAACTAATCACATATTCATTCCTAGCCCATAATCATGCCCAAGAGCATCTGATTATTCAAGAGTATACTCATTTATTTAGCATAGAAAGTTGTATATACGTGATAGATTTTGACGTTAGCAGAATTTGTCTCTATTGATTCATTAGCAACAGGTTTTGAATCTTGTCGATTGGTGCTTTTTCGCCCTTGCCAGTAATGCAGTAAATACCGAATGCAGCCATCCTGACTACATAATCCGACTCCCATTCTTAAATTAATATTTTTTCTCTAGATGTCGTTGGCAGCTGTAGCCACTCTTTTACCAGAAGATTTCCCAAGTTGTGTCCAGAAATCAAATCAAATATTGTTTGTTGTGAAGGTTGCGTGGTATTTTCTTCTTTCTGTGCAAGCGCATAAAGTGCTTTGTAAATAGCCTGCGGTCTATATTGTGTTTTATTGGAATCCAAAGATTGTCTACCATACCTGAAACGAATGCTGATACCATACCCGAGTTTGCGGCTCCTATCCGATTCTCCACTCTGAGGTAGGATATTGTCTCCGTTATATTCTGCACGAATATCGTGGCATAATGATTCTGGTTGTACTCTGAGTAACAAGATGGTATTACCGATTAAACTTTTCTAAACAGTTGTGTAGCTTACCGATACTCCTTGTCAGTGGTCGTATAGTACGCGAGAACACGACGTGCTAATCTACGACAGTGATCTGCATGCGACCGATCATAATTGTTGTCCAGAGTTTTTCCACTTTTAACGATGTCGTTGAACTTCTTTACCATATGCAAGCAGTGAGGGCCATGTATGAACAAAATTTCCGAGCCAAGAGCACGTGTAGTGGGCCATGCTATACTACGTTCATAGGCCGAGAAGACCAACTTTTTACCACCTACAATTTGAAATATATCAGATCTATAGAGATTACTCTCCTAAGGAGCTAGATTAATATTAAAAATAATTTACGACTTCTCAAAGCTCTTTGCTCGATTTCGACTCATATTTTCGCTTACCAACGTAAGCATTCCAATTAAGTACCACTCAGCGGAGCTTTATTTTATCGTTTAGTAGTGATGCAACAACAGAGCGGGAAAACGAGCTGCTGAAGCATCAAGTCATGTTTCCGTAATCAATGTTTTGATGGCATACAGTTTTCTTATTAGACTTTTTTAAAATTCGCTTTAGAGAAATGCTTCAAAATCATGATGAGTTTAGAATTTTTGTGGTGTCAATTTTCTAGATCTGTAAATGATGAGCGGGCTTCTGTGTGCATTTCAGAATCTCATAAATAAAACTGTGCATAAGAGTCTATAGAAACCTTATCTGATCTGTTGGATTTCAGTGCGACAATAGGGACGAACAGGTGCATTCGCATATGAAATAGTTTGGCTAGTCAGATGGGTATAGGAAATGAGGGTGGCTTATTGTAGAGAAAGTACCAACACTAGTCAAATTACTTCAGGGTGTGGGTGCGTAGTTTCATGAGGATGTACGTCAAGATCCCAGATGAGTTGAAAAGAAGAGATCGGTCCTTTCTGATTTTATACTATTTTGTGAAACTATACGCATCAGTCGTTTCTATTTTTTTCGTTCACGCCCAGAAGCAGAATGAGAATAGCGAAATAGGAGTTTTAACGCTAAGTTTGGGTTTTGGTGTATGCGAATATGCTCGTGAGTGAAAGCCTCGACATGCATAAGTTGGCACGTGTCAGTGGATCTATTGTGTTGGTAGATAGGAGATCCGGGTGTGCATCTGAAAGAAAAATACATGAAGTGCTAATTACTTTCACACCGTCTGACTGTCTCGGTTCCGCTTATTTCATTGCGTTACATAAGCCCACTAGCTTCGCTGAGTGCAGAGGGTTTCGTGAGTCCGTGTTCTTCCTTGAATTCCGTCAGTTCTATGAACTTCTTGGGTTCCCAGGGCTCCGTGAGTTCCACACATTTTTGGTCTTCGTGAATTACAGTGAAGTTGAACTTTGAATAATTCCAGACAATCAAAACTCAAAGAATGCAGACACGCCTCACTGAAGCTGAGAACTTTGTAATATAAAGTGAATTTTTCACTTGAGTATCAAAAATAAAAAACACAGTACCTGTGGGCGTGGGGGTGGGGTGAGTGTAGGCGTTGCTGCAAAGCGTCTTCGAATCCAGGCTAACACCCACACCCACCCACGCCCACATCCACATAAATTTCAGTCTATGGGACGCTTGTTTGGTTGAATTCTAAAAAATGCATAACTGAAAATGCATTACATGAAAATATTATGTGAGCTATGTATCTTAACAAGACGAGGCGAAGCTATCGAGGCACTCTAGAGACTATCTATTTATTATTACTTATCTCTTGAATATCATCTCATTTAGACAGGAATGCATCAGCATGAAAAATTCCGAAGCTATCTGAATTTCAACTGAACTAGACCTTGTAGGAACTTACCCTTAAAATTACTTGGCGCTACAGATACAAAACCAGACTTCGGCCGTGCAACGCGGATGTATTTCGCCCATTGATCTTGCGTCCATGCACTGCAATTAGCGAGTCCTGATTGCTGGGCATATAATAGATCGCTTGTTGCGCAGATGCAATCTGATTTTGAAAGCGTGTCTACACAATCATCGGTGCAGCTGCAGTCTTCATTCAATAAGTTGCAATAGCCCCTGGGAGCATCTAATGAATTGTCTGCTTGTTGACAAACAAGTTTTTTGCCAACATTTTCTGCTGTCATTGCACTGACGATTAGAATTAACACCAAGATGCTCTGGTTCCACATTGTGTATTTCAAGTAGGAATATTTCGTAACAGAGTTTATCACAGTTTTCACTTACTTATTGATTAACAGTCAGTATAGGAGTAACAGTCTATGAAGGTAGACCACTATCGATAATAAGTTCGTGAAATGAATACTAAAAATTTGCATTTATATAGGAAGAAATTGAATTATTGTTATCTTTCACTTCACAAATATTTACACCAGTAATTATCAAGCGAAAATCCCCACATCATATAAAGCAATATTAAGCCATCAAATTTTATATATTTTCTTCTCCGAATTCAAATACTAGAACAAATCCACGATAAAAGATGACTCCATATGCTGATAACATCAATTTGAAGAGATTGTGTGTTGACGGTATAGAAACCAGGCGAACAAACTTGTTGTCACCCTATTCAAACTATAACGTTGTCGACCATAATGCCAAAAATCATGCTCTAGCTCAGTTGTACGGCCATGCCATGTACTGTGCAGAGTAGAAAAACGCCATGCAAAAGCAAGGGTAGTAGAACCGGCAGAGTTAATATAAGTAAAGATGCCGGTGAAAAAAAGGATTTAGCAGAACTGAACTGAGGATGGGTGACATGTGTCTGCATTTGAATTCGGATGTGTAACGATACGAAGGAAACCACATCCACATCCACACCCACACCCTCAATTTCAATCTATGCAAAAGCGTATTAATTTACGCGCAAAGAACATGGGACCCTGTGTATTTAAAGATTCATTTAACGGGCACATTACAAAACTGTCAATAAACAAGCCGTTGTACTCATTTATCTTTTATGATTCCGTTGGTAAGTGATTGATAAGTCTTTTCTTAACAGTTCGTGCATTTCCTAATGACGATTGTTCGCATGCTAATAATGTCTATCAGAACCAATTTGACTAATTTGTGAGTTTCAGAAGTCTTCTTTCAGGATCTAAAATCAAAATTTGAATTACCAAGAGCTCTCATTAAATAGCTGCTCTTTTTAAATCCAAACTGGATGAAATTATCGTTTGAAAAATTTCATTTGACTGGGTCGATTACTAAGGCTGTTATTTTCCTATTAATTAAAAATAAATTTAAATTATTGAAAAAAAACTTATATTTATTTAAAATTAAAATTAGCGATAATTTAATTTATGCTCGAATTATATTTGGTGATAAGCATAAATTCACATCTTTACAAGCTACTCACTTATTTTGGAAGAACACATAGGTTTCGTCAAATGTAAAACGTTTCTTGTTCTCAGAGATAATCTATGGCAACCAAAAAAAGGGCTCACGATCCTTGTGCGGCATTTGCCTGATTTTCGAGAAAAACGATTCTTGTCAGTGGCGGCTTGCTTGCATGCGCATTTTCAGGATGACAATTATCATTTCAATACTGAAATCCGTCGCTGTGGTAAACGGCCACCCAATATGTGGGTTATTGCAGTTCTTATCATATCTATGTGATCTAGTAATAATAACTATTGTTATATCTTGTGTTTTTCTTTTTATTATGCCATCAATGTGAAAATCTGACATGTTTACATGATAAAATAAAGAGAAATGATGAGGATTAAGCCTTCTACAGCAATCTATATGTTATTAGTTTTATAATTGTTACAATGTCAGTTCACAAGATGTTGACTGCGCTCGTGCGATAATAAAAGAGCAAATACAGATATCAAACAACAAGCATTAAAAGAAACAGGAATCAAGAACAAGAAAAAGGAACAACGGAGAAACGTGGGTGTGGCTGTTGAAATTGTTCAATGGGAAGTGTACCCGCAACCGCATGCCCACACACCTCCAGGAATTCAAAGTTAGTTAACATGACTGCTAGGCAAGAAACGAAATAGTTATTATTCAAGTACAAAATACTTATTCTTACGCCTTTTTACGAATCAACTCAGTGACCATAATGTATTTTCTTAGTTCATCATCATCCGATGGCTCTGTTTTGCTTAAGATTTGTACGCCCTTTTCCATATTTTCAAACGACTTCTTAAAATCTTCCAAAAGATATAAACTCAAGCCAATTCTTATATATAATATGGCTATTTCCTTTTCATCTTCTATCAGTGAATTTAATCTCAAGTCCAACGATCGCCTATAAAACCACAATGCTTCCTGATATTGCTTTAACTCCAAATGCATATCAGCTATGCGACTGTTTATCATAGCAGCGAAGGAAGCGTCAGTGTATGAAGACCTAGTTGCAAGTTTTAGTGTGCGGGTATAGAATAATAATGCTTGAGTATAATTTTTTTGTCCTTCATACGTGTCGCCAATATACTGATGTAATTGAATTACTTGAGGATGTGTATCGGATAAAGCTCTTGTTTGAACTGCAAGTGCCTTTTGAAAATAAATCAATGCTTCGTCATATTTTAATTGTTGAAGAAAAATAGCACCGATATTTTTGTTTGTAAATACATGGTTTGTATGATAAGGTGGTAATACATCATTTTCAATTTCTTGCGTCATTCGAAAATGATGTAAAGCTCTCGAATAATCACCTTTTTCAGCATATACACAGCCCATATGCTCATTGTTGTATGCCTGGCGTAATCTATCCGATTTATTATCATCGTGAGCATTATTCATATCGATTTCAGCTGCTTCCTTGAAATAAGCTAATGCTTCATCTGGCATACCTTGTTTACCATAAGCTATACCAATATTCGATAATACTACAGAAATGTTTTTGTCATTTGCTTTTAAATGTATTCTTTTAAGTTTAAGTGATTTTTGATAAAACTCCAATGCTTTTATGTAATCCTTCAGTCCTAGGTAGGCAACTCCAATCTCATTATAGATAATACTAAGACGAATTGGATCATTCACTTCTAACGATGAACTATTTAATAGCAATTGAAAGAAGTGCAGCGCTTTATCATATTTCCCCATAATTCTCATTAGCGATCCCAAAGAAAAAATACCATTGTGATCACCAATTTCATTTTTGATACTTTCTCTCAATTCATTCAGTTCTACATCTTCTTTATTCGTTATTATTAATTTTACTTGATACAAATCATTTGCATTCTCCACTTTGAGAATAGAACGAATTCGAAATATGCTTCCCATGGAAAATAAGACTTCATTTTCCTCTAAAAAATAACTGTAATCTTGGATAGAAGCAAATGGAGTATTATGGGTCAGACAAGTGCCATCAGCTTCTATTTCGAATAAAACTCCCACATGGCCTTGTTCGCAACCAACATAGGATTCAGCGACGTTTTTCTCCGCCGTCGTTGATAAAAAGTTATCAAATGCTAAAAGTCCATTTGGTTGTAGTTGAATAAATTCATTTTTTGCCATTGCTTGAGCACGGTAACATGTATTTGATTTTAGTTTTTTCCACATTGATAACTGGAAATGTGCCAATAGTTCATGCAAATCTTTAATGAAACAACGAAATTTATAAAGTACGTCAATGTCTTGCCTTCTGAGGGCATCATTCAACATTTTATGTAGAAAACATGGTCGCGTATACCACCATACAGCTGACGCAGGCCGATAATTTAAGTCAAACTCATCGATTAATTTCAGCTCTTCAATATTAGTCATAGAGTGTTTACGCAATAACTCGACCATTTCTTGTTTAGCTATTTCACAATCATCCATCTGAATTAAAATATCTCTCAAAATTTGTGAATACACAATTGATACAGGCAATTTGTTGTCATCATTTTTATCATAAATGGAAGGAAGTATGTGTGTTGAAATAAAATCCCTCAATAATTGTAAAATATCTTTATTTAATTGATGACTAATCGAATGAATATCACTGTAAATGCCATGTACTTTTCGGTATTGTTTTAAACATTGTTCGGGCTGGTTTGCATTTAAGGAATATATATAAATTGCGTGAATTTGCTGTATTTGATAAATCAATGGGACAATATTGATACTCAATGATTCAGATATAATAAAAAATATATGTACATCTTCAACATCTGTTATAAGATCAATGCATTGGTCAGCATCGTTGAATGTAAGTACAGAGCCAATCATGCCACGTGCATGCTTTGCTAACATGTCAGCAGAATAATTAGTTAGGTTAGTGTTAGTATCAAGCCAGATAACAACAAACTTTTTTGAATTATACTGGCTTTCTGATGTTTCAGTCATCACGAGTAACAAGCTATCATACGAATGCGTAAAACTTCGAAAACGACATAATGTTAATCATAAATATATTTTATACGAAGAATAAAATGAAATTTTCTAATATTTACTCAGTATTAACTTAACTTATGTATACCTTTATACCATGAGGTTCTACCAACAAATAACGACGAGAAATTTCCAACATAAAAGTGCAAGTTACTTCCGTAGGTTTGCATTACATACGGGATGGTGTTTTTTTGTCCTGGTATTTTGATTACCACAAAAGCGATATCTAACATAGTTGCAAATCCGACTGAAGAGTAGTAAAAGACTACTGCAAAATACATCAGAATTTTTCTCAAGGATGCGAGTGCGACTATCGGTGAGTATGTGAAAGAAAGGATACACCCGCAATTAACTCCAAACCAGTACAGTGATGTAACCAGGAGTTTTAGATCAAAGAACAAACATCTATTGTGTCGAAAAAAAATAATGATCGAAAAAATGAGCAAAACTTGAGGATGTGAGTTTGAGTCTAGAATGCGAGTGTGGACGTGGTATATGATACTAATTATGATATAATCTGCATGCCCAGTCACACCTACACATCATCACGTAGTACATAGGTAACTACCTTTTGCAATCAAACTAGCTAACAGTTGTATTCTTCATTCGTGTGCATGCATCTATCAGTGTTTATTTACCCATCGTCTTTCTTCTCGAGAGTCAAAGTCAACTCGGATTATCATAAATACTATTCTTCATTGAGCTATTCATTTTGACACTTATTCTTACAACTGGTATTCACTAACGAGCATTCATATGCATCTTTCAGGTTAACTTTACTGACAAAGAATGACAGAAGAGACAGATGTTTCATCAAAATTGGTGGCGATTTGCCCAATAGCAACTATTTGTTCATGGGTGCTTATGTCGATCGAGACTATCATTCTGATGAAACAATCGCATTACTTGTTGCATTGAAAGTGTGACACAAAGATCGTATCACTATTCTTCGTGAAAACTATGAATCTCGACAAACAACCCAAGTCTACGGATTCTATGATGAATGTCTGAGAAAATATAGCGATGCCAATGTATGAAGATATTGCACTGATCTCTTCAATTATCTTCCTTTGACAATCATGGCCGACGATCAAATCTTTTGCTTGCATGGCGGTCTTAGTCCATCCATCGACACTTTGGATCACATTCGAGCTTTAGATAGAATACAAGAAGTCTCATGCCAAGGTCCTATATGTGTGATCTACTCTCGTCAGTTACAATTTTGGTATACGATCAACCTTGATTTTCTTCTAGATCAAATCCAGATGATCACGAAGGTTGGGATATATCAGAGCGACGGGCTGAATATACTTTCGGTTAAGACATATCAGAAACTTTCAGTTATGTCAATGGTCTACAATTAATATCTCGAGCTCATCAGTTAGCGATGGATGATAAGTTTTACAACGATTTCGAGCGATCTAGACCATATGCTATCGTTGTGGAAATCAAACAACAATCATGGAACTTAATGATTCATTGAAATATTCCTTGCTTCAATTCGACTAAGTCACTAGACTAGGTGAGTCCCAAGAAATACGAAATAATAAGAACAATAATTATTTTCGATAGTTATTTGTTATAAATAACAAATCACTTTTTTCCCTGAAAACTTAGTTCATCTTTTATATTGGTTATACCATGCGTATTGGCACTATAGAAGTTAAAAATTTGTTCTAAAGCATAAGCTCATATAACGGATGTATAAAAATATACAAAGAACTGAGCTTTTTCAAAGAAAAAGTTGAGGGTGTGGGTGTGTGTGCTGTTGTTCGAGTGTGAGTCATCTTGAAGTCCACACGAAAGCTATAACAACACCAAGACTATTGTGGCGTTCTGTGTAATCCGTGAAATAAAATAAAATTTTATGGAGAATTTCAAGAGTATAATCTTGATGAGAACCGAAAACAATATACAAGTATGTCTCATAGTTGAAGCTATGCGTAACTATCGCTTCGAAATATTGATAATATTGGAGACCATCTGAGAGTTTTGCCTGACTAATATTCTTACCTACATATCAAACAGTCGTTAGATTTTAATTAATTAATTTTAAGAAAGGGCAATGTTGGATAGTTTATGTGAATACAAATTCAAAACCTTTCGAGAAAGTTACCGCAATGATATTAGGTTTTGTTTTTATTTTTAGGGTTATATATAATGACAACGCACAGTAGACTTTGATACGTTAAAGGGTAAGGATAAGTACTGTTGTGCTTGTGTGTTTAGGTGTATGTCTTCGCTCGAATGACACATTTACAACTACAGTCATATATCACGCCAACATCCTTAAGTAAACTCTGAGTTAACGTGTTTATTCTTCGGCCCTTATCTAAGTTTTTATTGACGGAAAATAATGTGATAAATAAAACACATTCAAACGCATTCAAGATTTATCAAAATTGCAACAAGAACAGTCATCGTTACTACTAGCCAGTGAAGAAGCTTTCAATTTGAACTTGAAATTAACTGAAAAAGATTTAGAGCTGATTGAAGAAGCCAAACACGTCTCACGTCGCCTTCACAGACCACACTATCACGTCGTTGTCAGCGCACTGCGTACCTGTAAACCAACAGATAAAATATATACTGGTATTCACATCGAATCGTCACAACCGTTGTGCGGTGAAGTGAGTGCCATGTGCTCGATGATCAATGATGGACGACAGATGGGTGAACTGGAGACTATTGTAGCTCTGGCTGGTGATGATACGAACAAAGACATGTTTAGACTATTCAGTCCATGTGGCAGATGTCGAGAGTTGATTGGTGATTGCAATCGAAAAGCGAGAGTTATCGTCGGTACGATAGAGCAACCATACGTACTGAGCATTTCAAAGTTGATGCCATTAAAATGGACTGATGTCGAAAATGAATACTGGGGGAGACGAGCTGAATCTGACTAATAAACAATGAAAACTTTTAATATCAGTGCATTGATCAATAATTTTTAGTTTTTATTTCATGTTGAGATAGTGAAGTTTTTTTCTGATCAAAATTTATAGTTTCACTGTATCATGAAATAGGAACGTGGATAGAGCTGAAGAAAGAAATACTGGCCAAATGTATTGAGAAGTACGACAACAAACAATTGTCAATAGTTATAAAATGTTTTTTGAATCTTTTTCAATATTTGCTCATTGATGCGGAGGTGGGTGTGGATGTCAGTGCTCAAGTAAAAATAGTTACAGACCGACACTCACATCCTCAAAAAATCATTAAATTCAAATGATATTTTTAAAATATTCTTGTATTTTAATTCGATAAGCAATGAGATATTTACAAAATTCTTGTTTGTAAAATGTTGATGGTATACAAATAAAATAAAAGTAAGCATAGGTGGAATAAATGAAATAATTAAACGTGGTAATCCTAGAATAACTAACAGAACAGGAGTAGTAAATAAATTTCTAGTTTGTCGAAGCTGTTCTTTTAAAATCCCTGCAATAGATCGATTAGTTCGAAAAATTTGATTGCCTGTGAAATTTTTCTGCTATAAGAACAATAGCTGATATCAGATTAATGATAAATCGAGTCAACAAATGGAACGAATGCGTGATAGTATATGCTACTTTTGTGGAAATCACATATATTTTCGAAGAAAATGGTGACTGTAAGTTTAAATGTGAGATTTTTGCGGCTCCCCCTTCTCATTACAGACTACACGAAAAAATCAATGCTTGCCCATTAAAGACCATAGCAACTAGTCTCTGCCATTGTTAAATATACGAGCTAACAATTAATATTCCATTGCAGACATAAATAAATAGGCAATGACCTAATTATAGGTTTGGGAGATCAGGGTAGATTTTTCAGATGAACTATTTTGAATTATTTTAGTAAGCCGAAAGGATATATGCGAGTTTCACATTTCAGCCCCAAATGGGCTGCGTTAACAAGCTTTTTATGAGGATTAAAAGAACTGAGTGCATTTTTGTACGATAGTGTATGGATAGAAGCCAATGAAACATGTCCTTTGAAAATAGATGCTATGGCCTATTTGACAAGAAAAAAGCAATGAATTTTCTATGATTGTCTATTTAAATGTAGCAGTGTAAGATGCCGCTAAAGCAGAATTGGAGTTAATTTTGTTTCTCGCTTATTTATATATGGTTTGATAGAGCTTGAAAAGCTGATCAAGAATATATACTTTTTATTTCGATTTCATGTTTTTTTGGCTGAGAAAATCTTCAAAAACAAGAACGACTGAAAAAATGCTGTTTTTATGTTAAATTTAAAATTTTTACAAAAACTACCAAATTTCTTTTTCAGTTATTTTTTGAGCATTTTTAAAGTACTACTTTCTGAATCAGCATGAAAAACTGAGTAGGAAAATGTTATTTGGTCAGATGTAGACCTAAAAAAGAAAAACAAAACTTATCTCATATAAATAGCTCCATCACACGAAAAATATGTGTCAGTGGGCATTCTTGTAAATCTATCTAGTTTTTTCTAATAAGTGATAGAAACAATTGTCTCATCTCATTAGAGTCGCCAAACCATGGGCTACAAAAGTTATTATTTTGTGTTTTCAAATTTTTATTTTTTTGTTGAGAAATTTGAATTTTTTCGCTGGTGGGTGATAGTATGTAGTAAAAAGACGAAAAACGTGCATTTATTGGCCAGTTTTCATAACAAGAACTACGGCAAAAGGCAAAACCAATAGCATATTAGAAATCAGCGTAAAAATCTACATCGACTCATATATGTTTGGTACAAAAATATTTCTGGCGGAAAAAAGCCTGTGGTCCCCCTCAGGTATAATTTCCTAAAAATTTTCTCCTAGTCCCCCACAGATGAATTTTTCTCAGAAAATAAAATTCAGTTAAATATAAATGAGTCGATGTAAATTTTGACGCTGACTTCGAATATGCTATTGGTTTTGCTTTTTGTCTTAGTTATTGTTATGAAAACTGGCCAATAAATCCACATTTTTCGTCTTTTTGCTACATACC